AATCCACATTTTTTGAAGCTTGAAATACTTTATTTGGCCGGTGAAATCCACATTTTTTCTCCACTTTAACGTTACACCGTTACACCGTTACGCCAATCAATCTCGGCCGGTTAAATCTCAGCTGGTCAATGGCCATTTTGATGGTTAAATCCATTGTTAAGTCAAGATAAAATCCATGGTTCTTTCATGATTAATCCTATATAATATAATCCTCTAATCTATCCGCAATCCACAACAAACATTAAGAAACAACAAACATCATCCACACATATGGCTAGATGAGTGGTTTATTCCGATATTCCGATACATGTTAAAAGTACTATAATTCCAACTATAGATCCCAGTTCTATCCCCAGACCAACCCCAAACCTCTCCCAATAATATGTGATAATTCCAACCATGGCAACTATATCCCAGTTATATCCCAGTTATATCCCAGTTATATCCCAGTTATATCCCAGTTATATCCCAGTTATTTGGGGATGGGTCAAGTCACCGGGTCAAAACCCCTGATGATGTTCACATCCAAATAGCTGGGCTGGGATTTATGGATGTTCATCCCCAAAAAGATGTTTTTTTTAGGCATTAATCCCCATAGGCCCAGAAAAACATCTTACCCAACCTGGTTATGACATTCACAGTTTGCCATGGAAAGATCCAACCATGCTATTAAGAACGGTAAACACAGGTTTTATCCATCTATTTCGATTAGGGCCATCAAAAAACCATGGCTATGTTAGTCATAACCAGAGGGTAAAATCATGAAGTTTCCCAATTTTCCATCCACATTTTCCAGCATCCCTGGTGATTCAGCGCCATTTGAACCGGCCATTGTTGTGGCCTCGTCCTGCGAACGAAGGCGCTGGCTGTTGCTCTTGTGGAACAACTGCGTCTTCGCGTGCATCACCTTTGGTCCCGTGGCAGAGTGATGAATCGACTGACTTGGAATCGCTGGGTGTCACAGCATCAAAAGTGGTGGTTTTGAGTATGGTCTGACTATGGTGGTTAAACATGGTTAAACATGGTTAAACATGGAAAATACTATAAGTGCTGGTTTTAAGTATTTTAACTATGCAAAATGGTGGTGAAACATGGTTCAACTATGATGTTGCTAAACGTTGAATCCACTGAATAATCTTGCCGGAAGATTCTTGATGTTTATGGGTGAAAACGGTGAAACACCGAAAAAATCCCTCATTCAATCATCATGTTTGATGGTGACACCACATCTTAACTAGGATAAACTACACAAAACTAGACACAACCAGTTGATGTACTCCAAAAATTCCATGACGCATGCTGCTGATATCACCATTTATTGGGAAAATCTGGAATTTTAGTGTGGCTGAAGCTTTGCTTTTCCCTGGTTAAACCAACATGTTTGATGCTTCAACTGCACGTTGCTATGGTTCAACTGTTCAACCAGCCTTTTTGATGGCTAAACAACCAATCACTCCCAAGTAGGCAAATAATATCAAATGATAATAATAAATAAGGTAAATAATAGTAGGAACTACACAACTAATATTAGCAATCTCAAGTACCTATGTGTAGTTCGTTATATTTTTGTCATACGTGTCATACTTTCCCACTATGAACCCCTTAAAGAAACAAAAAAAAACAAAATGGTATTTACATGATATACCTAACATACCATTTTGATATATTTTGAGTTACCCCAAAAAATGCAAAAAAATGAGTATACTTTCCCATAAAAGTATACCTTTCCCCATGAAACCCATAGATTTCCAAACGCTCAACGCTAGCAACGCTAGCGGTAGCAACGCAACAGGTTTGGTGAGCGTTTGGCTGGCGCTCCATGGCTCCATCGCACAGCGGAGAGACTTGGTGTCTGTTAGGGGATAAAAAAATTGGGGATTATTGGGAAAATGGCCCATTTATAGATGGTTTACCTGTGTTTACCTATCAAAAATGGTGATTTTACTGGGAATATACGGGATTTTATATGGGAATAATGTTAATTAAGTGGGATTTAATGGAGTTTAATGGGAATATACTGGGATTTAAGGGGATTAGCCTCTGATTATTGGGGATTATTGGGAAAATGGCCCATAGAAATAGATGGTTTACCGTTCTTAAAATTTGGGATTTTCCATGGCTATGTGAGTCATAACCAGATGGTAATTTGTTGATGAATTTGGGGATTATTGGCCCATAGAAATAGATGGTTTACCTATTTATAGATGGTTAATTTGGGGATTATTTTTGCGGATTATTTGGGGATGATTAATATAATCACTATATATGGGAATAATCACTATATGGAATCATATATGGAACATGTGGATGGAAAATTGGGAAACTCCATGATTTTACCCTCTGGTTATTTAACATAGCCATGGTATAGATGGCCCATTTATAGATGGTTTACCTGTGTTTACCTATTAAAAATGGTGATTTTCCATGGCTATGTTAAATAACCAGATGGTAATTTGGGGGGTTATTCACCAAATGGGGATTATCCATATGGGAAATATATAATATAGTTACTATAGGAGACTCATAATAATCATATGGAATCATATGGGGAATGCACTTGTTATGGAAATTATTAATACTGGTTAATAATTAGGGGAATGATTATCAATGGTTAACCCAATTAATCATGAGTAGGGAATGATTATCCATATAATCATAATCATTAGATCATCAGGGGATTTATTAAATGTAGATTATTTGATTAATCATATGGTAATTATAAATTATATGTACTTATAGTAATCCCCCAATGATTGGTGATATATGTAATTATTATTAAGGTGTTATTATTGAGGATATAATGGGGGTAGTGTTAATGGAGATATCCCGAGATGATGGTTAAAATCACACTAATTAAGATATATGTTCATCCACACTAAGATATGGGGGATGAACCAGAATAATAATGATAATAATGGTGATAATAAGAATCATATAACCATTAGGACAGAACTATCATAATCCATTATTATGAGGGGATTATATATCCATTTAATCAGAATTTAGGGGATGATGATAACATGATATAATGGTTATAATATATCAGCTAATGGTTATAATGTAATCCCATAAGTAATGGGGATAGTAAATCATTATAGGAGATACATGATGGGAAAAGAGTGAAATAAATCTTGCTATGTACTATACATATACCGAAATAGATGGTTAAAAACTGCCGAAAAACACTTTATGGGATCATTTAATATGATGATATCATTACATGGGATCCACGATGGGAAAATTTGATGATGCAAAATACTCTGTACTCTCTGCCAATTAAATGGAACTATTCTTTGGAATACTGCAAAATTGAAAATTTGGAATGTCCAAATTTTGGTATACTCTCGAATAAATGGAAATTATACCGCTCAGAATGGTATACTCAAAATGATATACATCACATTTTTATTATGGTATACTGGGAATCGAATTTTTGATTTCATGGGAATTATGCCATTCAGAATACCAGTCCCGCTTTCAGAATTGAGGATTGGATAAATTATAACGCTGAAACCTGCTACGTCACTGGAATTCTGTCGTCCGTAGGGATAACTATCCCATGTTCGAAGGCAGCGCCATGCCCATGTGGATTATAAACATTTATGAACCACATATCCATTCATGATGATCCATAATATCCATAATATCAGATCCATGATATCATATCCATAATATTATGTCCACATGTTATGGTTTCACATCCACATAAAATACCCTATGATAATTTAACATAGCTATTGAAAATGGCCCATAAAAATAGTTGATTTACCTATAAAAGATGGTGATTTTCCATAGCAATGTTAGTTTACCAGAGGGTAATCCATATGTTTACCATGATTTACCTCATTATATCTCATCAGATCACCATTCAATCCCATTAAATCACCATGAACCCCCATGAAATCACCAATTATGTTGGTGACATCCTCGTCATGGTACCAAACAGTTGCGCCGTTTTTGATCCATCAGTTGCGATGGCGGTTTTGGTTGGCGCCTTCCAAGGCGCCCGCGTGAAGATCTTGACGCAGGCGGTACGTCCCCCGGTGCCCACGTTGCTTTGGCGTTTTTGGTAGGGGGAGTGAATCTGGTTGGGTATTCAGATCTAATATGTTTTTAATTGTTTTTCAATTATAGTTTCTTTTTTAATAATAAATGGATAATGACATTAAACATTTGGACATATATATATATAATAATAATGGTAGTAATAATAACAACAATAATAATAATGACACTGAATATATTTTTCCATGAGCAATGAAGTCCAAGACTGCGCTCTACACATTGAATATACGGAAAATGACATTAACAAATATCATCAAACATATTATGTATATGATATATAGATACATATATTTTTTACAGGACCTGGGAGTGCGTAGGGAGGTATTGGGGATGATGAATCTAATATTGTTTTTTTTTTTAATTGCCAAGTTGCAGGAATCGCTCTTGCCTCTTCCAGTCGTGTGATCTGGAGAAAGAATCTACGGTAAATCAGCATACGGCCGGTTCCACGCATCAGCGGAACGGCCACACTCCGGCAGGCTATGGGCAAAACGTGCGAAAACCATAAGGGTCTCATGTGACACCCATGGCCGAGCCCCTCTAATTGTTCCGTAAGGGAACTGTACACCGGACCAACTACATTTTCTGGCGAAAAAAGTGGCAGAATTGGGAAAAAGCTGAATCTTCTGTTTCTTGACTACACGCATGAAATGTCTGATCCAATTGACCACATTGATGAAGCGACCGCTGAACCCTTTGATCACCTCAGGAGGAGGAGATTTCACTCTCAACCAGAAATAAATACCCAGTTCATATACTGAGACAAAGGTATCTTCAGCACGCCTCCATTTCAAAGTTTGGAAAAAATTCAGAGTTTCAATCCACATCGCATCAGAGTAGCCCCAATCTCTGGGACGGCACGGGGCGTTCTCCATATTCCAATCATAAAGAATTTCAGCATGATGCCAATCCCATTTTGGAAAACGATTGATATAGTCGATTTCATCTCTCGCGTCCACATTGTCAACCACATGGTCAGCATTTGCCAGTCCATGTTGACGGTTATCATCTTGATTTACATACTGCAAGAGTTTTGACAGCCGACACAGCCACGATTGTTGAATAGCAGTGTGTTGCATCCAAGATTTCACCAGTGCCGGCGGCACCGGCATAGCAGTCTTGGCTACCTGAGTAGCCTCATCTTTCGCCAATTTCCACAGCCCAGTAAAAATCTTTTTGTTGGCATCTTCAACCTCATTGATTGAAAAAACATTTAATCTACAAGACCGACCCTGTCCGATGAGGTGGAAAATCTCACTCCAGAGATCAAGGTAGGCAGTGTTGAGAGGAAGGACAGTCAAGCCCTTCAGCCGTTCCCACGTTTGAATCAAGGCAGCGCATCGCGTAAAAAAGTTGATCTTCTTTGAAAATTTTCGCACCATACTCAAGAGAATCCATAGTTCCGCTTTGACCGCACAGCTCCAAGGTTCCAACGTGGCAAAACGCCACACCACCTCACCCTGAAGGTTAACAACAGCAGCTCCCAAAGTTCGAGTAAACACGTGTTTTTTGTTGAAGACCAAACCACAACCAACGAGTGAGAAATGATCAGAATGACACAAGCCACCAGGTAAAGAAGGCATGGTTTCCGCAGCATAGATAGAATCCAGAATATATTGAGGAACCTCAAAAATACCATGAGTCAGAAAATGGGGTTGTTCAGGAAAAACAGACCCTGGATTTCCCAGCATCTTTCTGACCCCTTCACACCGAGTCAAATGCTGGATGTCTTCATGATGAAAATCACAAAATCTGCACTTCGCAGAATCAACCAGATTGCTCTTATAAAGTCTGTTTGCAGTAGGGCAAGCGCCAGTTAAAATACCAGGAACAATTGAATCATCGAACGACGCGGGACGCCATGGCTCGCGGGGGCCCAGGAAGGTGACTACATCATGGTCAACCACACCGGAACCAGTCCTGTCCAAGTCTTTTCTTGCAGAAGAAATAGCTTGTCGATACAAACATTGGACAGCAGCAAAGTGGCACACTCTTCTTAAACCAGCAATTGACAACTCAAAGAAAGATATTTCACGTCCCAAGCACCGAAAGGTGTGTGGACGCACAAATTCAATTGCAAGAGTTTCGCAAGCTTTGAGGAAGGCATCAACCAGTCCACGGGCTATAGCCTTATTCCGACCACACAACTCCGACCACAAGCAAAAAAAAACCCTCATCCCGCTTGCATCGAGCTACAATGTTGCAAATGACTCTGGTGGCAATGGACATGTGGGGATGACAAGCAATGGGATTAGTGCACAAAGCAAAAAGCAACTCTTGATTACGCCACCCTGGTCTGTTGCCCCAAAGAGCTTTGGCTACAGAGTTGACCATACTGTCGATGGTCGCTTTCGGCCAAGGAATCACCTCTGGATGATATAGAAACTTTGACACAGCTTTCATGGAAATCAAAAAAGCTTTTTTGCGAAGAGAAATGGGCAAGTGCTCAATATCATGCAGAATAGCACGCACGCCTTGAGCGGTGTTCTTGGGATCAATGGTAATACGCTTGGCATTCGTCTTGACAAAAGTACCCAATACTGCAAACGTATCATGGATAGGAAGGGCAGGAATTGCATTTGCCAGCTTCTTTTTTGCAGTTCTCGAAGTCGCGAACCCGCTGGATTTGTCAATATTCAATTTTTGGCCAACCAGTTTATCGAAAAGCTTGGTGCCAGTCAAGGCAGCAGCAAGATTCCCAACATTGGATTCCAGCGCAAGCAGATAACAATCGTCGATAAAAGCGAAATGCTCAATCCCAGGAATAGATTCAACAATTGCTGTCCACCCTGTCATCAAAATGTTAATGGCTACCACAGAGGCTGCATCACCTTGAGCCACACCGTTCAAATTGGACAAGCTGGTTTTCGATATAGCATGCCCCATGCACAAAAATCTACGAAAATCTTCATAGACCTGCAGCCATACCTTCAAAAACTTGGGATCCATTCCGAGGATCTTTGCAAAATCAGCTACAATTCTTGGAATGATGCGATCAAAACATTTTGAGCGGTCAAGTTTGATACCACAAATTGGCTTCTGGAAAGCGACGGCATGCTCACATCTGGCAGCAATGATATGAGCAATGTCAGCAGCTTGTCTTCCCTGAATTCCACCGCATAAAGTTGGCGGAAAGACTTTCTGCTGCCATTCTTGCAAATGATCGAACCGTGCTTTGCTCCACATGATGTACGGGACACACATCAAAGTGATCAGTCTTTTGTCAATGGGCATTAAACTTTTAGCATCCGGTTTTGGCAACATGACCAAACGCGCGCATTGAAAAATGGTTGGCAAACGAAAAGACCCATCTTCAATTTTGTTCCACAAGCGGGCCCACGGTGCAAAAGCGATCGCAGGAAGAGCTTGAAGCTCTGCCGTTCTCCAACCATCAACCCCAGGTGAGGCAGTTTGCTTTCTTTTGTCAACAGCGCTTTTGAGGCATTCATCAGTGAGCAAAGGCAAGGAAATTGGGAAAGCTCTCTTTTTCAAGGCATCATGAATCACCTCAAGTACAGGTTCAGAAGGAATATGCTCCTTGTTCGCCTCAAAAACTTCATTCCACTGGCTGGCAGCCAGGGCCAGAGCGTCATCTTGATGGTAAAAAGGCATACCATGTGAGTCAGTGACTGTCATATACCCAAATTCGGAATTCTTGCGCCGCAAATATGTAAAAATGTCAGAGCAGTTGGAAAGAGCAGAAACCTTCATTCTTTGTCTCCATTTCTGGATTCGTTCCAAACGAATTTTTTGAACAAGTTTATCACGAGCAGAAACCAGAAAATCCCACACTTCGTTAACTGTTTCCTGTGAAGGCCAAATGGGCAAAAAAGGGCCCTTCAAAGATTTTACCAATGTTCTGACACGTTTCCAAGCAGCAACAACAATGCTTTCCGCGTGCTGTTTCATCACCGGGTTGGAAATTTTGAAAGATATATCATCAAGGCGGCAAATAGCCTTGGAGATCGCCATCAAAGTCTTGGTGTTTTGGTCTTTTGTATTTTGACAACATGCAAAACGATTGAAAGGTTTCAAATCGGGGAAGGTTCCACGTTTTTGTGACCCATGCTTCCATCTAGCACCCGACATTGTCAAAATTTTAATTGCAAAATCATTGGCAACGGTCATCAGAGATTCAGCTGAAAAAGCATCATTGGTGAGCTCACGAAATTCTTTCTCCCACAAATCTTGCGCAATCTTTGTTCGTTCACTTTCAGATTTCAACTGAGTGAGATCGAAAGACGCATGAGGAACCCATTGCAAATTACTGCTACGGTCATCAGATCGATTGGAAGGCCACTGAAATGTGGCGTCCACGAATGCGTGTTGAAGGCCTTTGGAAACATGGACCTTGACATCTTGCAAATATTGAAGCGCACAGTTATTGAGCAAAATTCCGTCAATGGAGGTGGCAGGACCACCAACCCAAGCACTATCCCTTGAATATGTAATGGGCCGACACATCCCATCTTCATTGAACTGTGTCAACACATCATGAAAAGCTCCAAACGACATAGCCTCAGCGATGCATGGATACATGTGAGGTTCAGCCTGAAAGTCAGCGGCAATGGCAATCGGAATTTCACCATGCTGGGAAAGCCATTCAAAAATGTCCCTGAAAAGTTGATTGGTGCGAGCCATTTTGCTGGAGTCACTCTGAGCACCAGAAAAACCATAGACCGACACCAACAACAAAGTCAAACGGTCAGAAACAGCCACCCACGCAGCAGTGCATCTACCAGAAGCCACAAGGTTCTGATAAATCCTGGAGCAATCATCTTTCGGATCATAGGGCTTGCTTGAACCACAGGCGGAGGCAATGGCAACTCCCCCATATTCAGGTAGGCCCCCCGGCAAATATTTCATCAAAGCGCCATGATGCAAGGTCAAAGAATTGTTTGAAGCCTCTAAATTAACTTTGACCAAATTGTAATTTGTCACTCTGGTTTCCTGGATCGCAAGGCAATTTGTCTTGTGCATAAGTGCCTCTGGGTGTTTCTCAAGGCTTCCAACGTTGATGGAAGATAACGTCCAACCCTCGCCAGGAAAGCCGCAAGAGGAGTCGAATTGGCATCTCGAATTGGGAGGCCAAGCAGGCGAAGAATTCACCGCAATTTCTACTTGAACATGCACCAGATAGGGCCTGTGCCTATCTACAAACAAAAAGCTGTTTCCGTTGAAAAAGCCAGAAACACACAACACCATAAAACGATGCCAGCTCTTCGGAAAGCACCTGAGAGTATCAAATATGCGACCATCAGCCATCAAAAATGGAACGACCCAAGTCATTGCCAAACACAGCAAATGCGTCCATTGAACATAAACTTTATCAAAACTGTGACCCCGAAAAAGGGGCCAAATCGCTGCAAGCATCACCAACAAAACTGCTCTGAACCTGTTTCCGACCCGACCGAAAAAAGCAGGATCCCGGGGGATCTGCTCAGGCATAGAAGAACTCGGCAAAGTCTGGAAACAGGCTCGATTTTCAATGAAGAGTCACTGATTCCTTTGGGATTTCGAGGGTGGCGTTTCACCCGTGTGGCCGTCTTGGCGAGCTCGGAAAGAATGGGCTTCACTTTTGGGCACAACCGCAGCAAGGACCTGCTTCAACTGATCGGAGACCACATCAAATTTGTCGTCAATCTTCTTTGACAACTCTACTTGGCCATGCTCCAACTTCGAAACTCGATCGGCCAATTGCTGATACTTTCGGTCATCACCCGAAACATTGATCTGTGTGGCACTTGTTGCATTCGCGGCTGGTCCTGAGGAACCTTTGCCATGGGGTGACTTAAGTCTCCATGGTTTGGGCACCGACGCAATGGAGCCATTGAATCCGCTCTTCTTCTTTGGGATTTGAATCTTGTTCGAACTTTGAGGGGTCATGACAATTTCAAAAAGTTTGGAATCCATCTTTACCGTGAAAGTATTGCATGCTGGCTGCTCTCCAAACGCAAGGACCCACGTAATCATGCCGCCATCTCTGTAACTGCGCAGTGGAATCGGGGCCGTCTTCACAGCAGTGAACGTGGCTTCGATGAGGCTTTTGTGAGAGATGGCCCAAGGGTACCCCTGACAAATGAACACATATTTGCTGACCACAGCCCTGTTGAGGTCGGTGAACCTCATGTCTGTTTGCAAAACCAAAGCACGAGCATCAGCCAACTTCGCATTGCTGGCACGAATAGCCACACCTTTGGCTGTCAAGGCTAGCCCTCTATATCCATCCCCTACCGATTCACCCAGAAGTTTGGCACTACGGACGTCTTCAGGGTTGATTGCAAAATATCTAGGCAAAATCGAGTGATTCGTCTCCTCCTGAGGTTGGATGAATTGTCTCACAAAGAGCTCAGCTTGCCCCGAATGTTTGAGCAGCTCATCAAGAGAGCCATGGGGGATCTTCATCATGCATTGGTGTATGATCTGATCATCAGCGCATTTCATTTTTCGATAGCTATAGATGGACATTTCAGAAAGGGCGATTCCACTGGCTGTGATCAATTTCTTGAAGCAACCCAGAGGGTGATCCTCCATCATCGCAACAGTATTGTGCGTCATGCAACCTGAATGCGTTTCAACGACCAGTTCGGAAAAGCTAGCAGAATCAACATTGACAACACCTGGTGTTTCTTCAACTTTGTACTCCACATTTCCTTTCAGCACGAAAGGAACAACAAGTCGCTTGTACTGAACATTCGAAGCAGGTTCCCTAACCGTAATTTGCTGCGATGCCAGCATCATCAAATTCTTGGGAACATCGAGATTCTGCAACCCTCGAAAACCTGGGATCAGCAACAAGGTCGTTGATGATGGGGCTACTTGTGAGAGCTCATGAAGATCAGCCTTAGTGACAAAGACCACTCCTCCTTTGTCGGGCCCCAGCTGGACCCCGGGGATTTGGTTAAGACGTTTGCCAGTGTCTTTGCAAAACCATGGGTGGTTCTCCATCAACTGAAGCTGATCCCACCGGCATCCACCATTCGATGGGACAATCTTGGCCCAAGGATCATTCTGCTGCAAAAAGTCACTTGAATTTGTTTTTCCTTGTGCTTTGCCATTTCCTTTGCCCCCTCCCGGAAGAGGAAAAGCTCTCAAACGAATCAAAGGAATTTCAATTTCACCAACCCTTGTATCCAGAGAAACGAGCTTCCCGTTGACTGAAGGTGAGATTCGATCAATCAAAGCATTGGGCTGAACGGCAACCTGCAACACATCGCGAATCAGGCAGTTGGGGGTCGCCTGAACAAACTTCGAAGAACCTCCTAAAAGGACAACTTCAACAACCAAAGATTCACCTACCTTCCGTTTGGTTCTCTTGGAAATGACAATGTGCATGTTCTGTAATTGCGCCAGCAGCATTGCAGGCTCACGCTGACACTCCCCATCGAAAAAAAGGAAGTCACAACAAGCTTCGGGCGCAATGCCACACTGCTCCGCAACATCCTGAATGGAATCATACAATGCGCAGTGAACATCACATACGACACCATCAGGCTTGACTACATGGACAACTGTGCGCAGACTGAGACCAAATTCTGATTGTGGAGATTCTGGCCATGTTGCTGTGATTGATTCTTCACCTACCGTACTCGGACACTCAAACCGATCATTGCATGGCAAAAACACAGGCGTAACCTCAGCACGTTTGTCAGCAATGACATCCTGGTGGAAAAAACACTTCTGCAAATCCTCGCTCCAGAGCCCAAACAAAGGGATGACATGTTTCTGCATTCCCAAAGATTCGCACAACTCTCCCACTGTGGTACCATGTCGAACCCCAAAACATGATGAGGACTGGTTAGGCCACACCACTTTCCAAAAGCAATCAGCATCTTCATGAAAAACAGAATCGCTCTTAATGACATCTCGCGTCATCAAGAAATCTCTTAGCTTGAGAATTGCGAACCCCTCATCGGCTTTGACAAACACAGCTTTCTTGGAAGTAAGTCTGGAGTCCCACATCTGAAGGAGCAATGATTGGATAGGCAAAGGTTCATCGCGTTGTGTGAGAAGATCTATCGCTAGCAAAGTTGCCAATCCTGCATGAGGAAGAGCAGTACAATTTCCGAGGACTTGGTACATCATCTCATGGTCTTTCGGGAGGAACAGGTTGATCCTATTTCCTAGCAAAGCAGTCCACATCCCTGGCGACTGAAACGCAACTCTGCCCTGAGAGTCAATGACCAAATCTGCATAAATGCCCTGATGTTTCAATGTGGAAGAAGGCAAAAAATGCTGAGTGGAATACGAAGCAAGGCATGTTTGTAGCGGTTGATCTCTTGGGGCCAGTCTCAACAAAAGCACTTGACTGCTAGTGGCGTTCTCATCGCATCTATTCCGCTTACAGCAAGGCAGAAGCTCAAAGCATGCGTACGAAGGCATCAAATATTGGTTGATAATTAGAGCATCCTCTAACACCTTCGGAATAGCAAACTGGTTTTCAAGAGCATGCCATGGACTCACGAAACCCTCGTGCAAATTGAAGGCTGCCTTCAGCACTGGATGATTGTCATCAAGGTCATTACGGAGCAAAATCCCGAGCCATCGGCTACGGGTGTTGTCAGTCAAATCCTTGGCATTGACCACTTGCGACCAAACCAACTGATAGCCTGCCCACTTTGCAAAACTTTCAAAAATCCTAAAGTGCTCATGGGATTGAAACGCATCCACATTTTCCATCAACAAGGCCATTGGCCTGATGATTCTGGCTGCTTTCAAGACATGAACGACCACTCTGCCATCCTTGGCATTGAACCCGCTTGGCGTAAGATTGGCGCTGGAAAAAGGTTGGCACGGGGTCGACACAGTCCAAACAAGATTGCAAGGATTGTGCATGCTACTCATCCACACATGTTGTTCAATCTGAGCGCAAACCCCGGTGTTACGTTTGAGCGACTTGGTGATGGATCCCCATGGAATAAACACTATTTGAGCATCACAAGTGCGAGCAGCCAGTCGGCAGATTTGCTCATCAGAGTCAACAGCTACACTTGACACCACATGAAATCCTACGATGGTTTCTTCACAGAACTGAACAGCCTGACCCCATCCATGAAAGGCACCGGAACACAAATGAGCAAAGTTGAAAACTCCTACAGGGTCTGCAAAGGCAGTAATCCACATATGCTCACAAGACCGGATGGTCGCAACACGCTTTTCATATGCAAATGACAGACTGGCACGACAAGCAAAAATCTGACCAATTTCAAGACTCCAACACGGCAACTGCGGCACATGAAGCGTAGCAGCACAAACACGTTTGACTTCACGACAAGGGCCAGACAAGTGCATGAAATTGGCAGGTAAGCCTTGGTCTAAAAGCCACACTTCAAATTCAGTCGACCACTGGGAAGCGACCTCAAGATGAAGAAGGCAATCACCTTTCCAAGCACGTGGATCGTCATCTACCAAAAATTGACACTGAGTCACAATATCATCCAGATCATTCAACGCAGAACGACACAAGGAAGCAAACGCCATCTGTCCCAAATTACAACTCCAGCTCAACCGTCAAGCACAATGAAGCGCAGAACCACACAATCAATCGGGGCAACTGAAGAGACAGTTGTGGTTGACAAGTGACCCAAATGTAGCCACCTCCCGGGCCCCCAGACCCTGAAACCGAATGGCTGGTGAGCCAGACAGCTTAATGATGAATCTAATATTGTGTCTGAGCTATTCAAAATACCTTTGTTGAATGGTTATTATAGGGAATTTTGCTGCCAAGGAGATCCGGGATTATTGTAACCAAAAGTAAGGACACCTATCAACCAAGTATATAGTATAATTAGATGGGAGAGGGGTAGTTTTAATTGCTCATATGATATTTTGCATATGTAGTATATAGACTATATATATATTTATATATCTGGTTGGTGGTTGCAAACATTTGTTTATTTTCCATTTCATATATGGGATGTCATCCTTCCCATTGACTTTCACTCCATCATTTTTCAAGATGGGTAAAACCACCAACCAGATATATATATATGTTTTATTATTGTTGCCATTGGTTGTTCTATTTTTATTATTCTTATTATTGTACGTTCCAGGTGCCCCCAAGCATCCAATCCGTGTCACGTGGTGCCGGGGGTAGTGGTGTTCTAAAAAAAACTGTATTACACTGGAAGTAAAATAGCTGCAAAAATAAGTTGTAGGTGCCGGTAAGGTATGTAATACATGGCGATTGTGTCTATGTATTTGTATGTATTTGTAACAGCATTCTATAAGTAGTAGTATGTAGTCAATCAGTAAGTATGTAGAATATGTAGTACTAAAAGTTGCAAGTATACAAGTATGTAGGTATGTAGGTGTATATATATATATACATAGAGCCATGGTCGTCCCCCCTTATTATGGGTAATTGACCCATTGCAAGGGATTTTTTTTGATCGTGGGATGATCATACAACCATAAATCGTATTTGGACCATGGTGCATATTAGTGTTACGACGTTAGCATATGTTTTCAGATCATTATCAACCATTGAATGTTGGACAAATCTTTATTTTTTTTAGACACCCTTGTAGATGGATAGCCTGGCTTTGTTGGCGGGCTTCACCGGGTTTTCACCTGCCCGAGGTTGAAAGATATCCAAGAAGCAATGAGAGCACAGGAACGGCAGGGGAAATGCTGTCAAATGGGATCAGTGTGGAAGTTTCATTGGTAGAACCAGAAACATCATTTGGTATAACCTCTGGTAACAGTTTGCTATGGAAAATTAAAATGGCTCATAAAAAATCGATGGTTTACCGTTCTTAAGAATGGTGATTTTCTATAGCTATGTTAAATTACCAGAGGGTAATTTGTATATTCAAGCCGTTTGTGTATGCCTTTCTATTTTATGGTGTTTACACTGCAATATTCACTGGTTGGTGGTTTGGAACATGAATTTTATTTTTCCACTCAGTTGGGAAGAATCATCCCAACTGACGAACTCATATTTTTCAGAGGGGTAGGTATACCACCAACCAGAATCCCTTATACAATCCCATGTGAACTCCATTTTGGATTTTACAAAATTAAGACTACCATGAGTTTATCAGTTTTCATCTTTATGTTTTGTTTTACATCCCATTAGAATATGCAAAGTTCAGATGCGACATAGGTCACCTGCCTAGTTCCGTAGCTGCCTCTTGGCTGGAAAAGCTTTCTCGCTGGTGTAGGCTCTTTAGAAGTTGCAATGGGTCTCAAGTCTCTTTTGTTCCCTTGCGTCGTCCTTGCAATGAGCATGAGAGTTGCAAGCAACAGCATTACAGGCAGCTTGCAAAACATGAGCGGGAGCGAGGTCAATGAAGCAGACCACCGCCTACTTGCGCATCCGAAGTTTAAGAAGTGCACCGAGGCCTGCGACAAGAAAGATAAGGACTGCGTTAAAAATACCAACACGGTCCACAGGTTCGAGACTTGTGGCAAGGACCAAGATACGTGCTATACTTGTTGCAGTGTAGGGCATTACACCCACGCCGATTGGTGCGCCAACCACGGTCTCATCAACTGCACGAAAGCCTGAGGAGCAACTTCAGCCGTAGAGACGATTTACCCGACACCTGCGCCGACAGTGCGAGTGCAAAAGAAGTGCTCCGACAGTAGATGGTGTTGTTTGTCCATTGAAATTGCAGCCATTTGTGTGAATGACTAGAGGGTAACCACCAGAAGCTTAATTAATTTATTAGCATCTCAGTCTTCATGCTAGTTCAATATTCAGGTTTGTCGGAAAAGAGGATAACCTATTCAATCCAATTTCCCAACAGAAAGAAGACGTTTGAGTGATATACCCACTTGTGGACAAAGCCAAATATCGTATTGTTGCTTATATACCCCAGGATATCCCATAAGATATGCGCATATCGTTGCTTACGTCCCCATTCTCTCCCCAGTTCAATAGTGACCACTGGGGAATCTCATCATATCTCCATGTTGTTTGTATTCCCATATTCTCCCCTTAAATTTAATGGTTTTATATCCAGTTTGAAGCAGTGGGGAACTCCCCAACTATCATCTTATTACCCTCTGGTAAACTAACATAGCTATGGAAAATCACCATTTTTAGATTATTTTTACTATGTAAATCAACTATAAATAGCCATTTTAAATAGCAATCTGTTAGTTTACCAGAGGATCCCGCATCATGGCCCATCTTCCCCGGCATCTCACCAAACATAGAACCATTTCCACCCAAATCCATGAGATTCCCACAAGTCATCAACCTCAAATCCCCGAGTCAATGGGATATCTCCAGGATCCGATTTATTGGAGGTACTAGTACGTTAGTACCATTTTTCAGGCCATATGTTGGGGGTATATCTCCTGAAATTTAGCCCTAAAAAATAGGCCAAACATATATGGAATCGGTACCTCCAATAAATCGCTTCCTATTGCATGGCCATTGACCGAGGCTTCCATGAATTTCCCATACCATCTGGTCATGACTAACATATTTAACATAGCCATGGAAAATCACCATGCTATTAAGAACGGTAAACCATCTATTTCTATGTTTTTAATAGGTAAAACCATCTAGAAATGGGCCATTTTCCATGGCTATGTTAAAAAACCAGAGGGTAAAATCATGGAGTTTCCCTATTTTCCATCCACATTTTCCATATATGATTCCATAGTGATTATTCCCATATAGTGATTATAAAAAAATCATCCCCAAATAATCCGCAAAAATAATCCCCATTTATTGATATTTAATAGGTACATCATCTATTTCTATGGGTCATTTTCCAGTTCGCTATGTTAGTCGTAACCAAATAACCATAGAATTGGATGATGGGAAAATTTACAGGAAAGCCCTATATTTGATGATAAAAACCATGGTTTCCTGTAGATTTTCCCTTAAACCAATCCAGTGAAATAATCAGAGGGTAAATCACAAAGGAACCTCTCATCGTCTCACAGGAGAACTTCGAGGGTGGCGGTGCACGGCGCTACTTCGAACCGCCTGCCTTTCTGGTGCCGTGGCAGGGCATTTAGCGAAGTCCAATGTGGCAACAACGGATTGGCTACAACGTGGGATCCCAATGTTACGATGTGATTGTTTTCATGAATATGTGAACATGTAATTTTGAAATATACGCAATTATAGGTGTACATATATATATAGGTATATATATGTATGTATGTATGTATGTATGTATGTATGTATATATGTATGTATGTATATATATACATATATATACATATATATGTATATATATATATATATACATATACATATACATATACATATACATATACATCTACATACACATACATACATACATACATATATATATATATACATTCTCAGATAGCATCATAAACCAACTTCTAACCGCGGGGGTGACGTTAGGTCGGTGAATTGTTCTGCCTTCCATTTTGAGGAAGAACATGTGTTTTTTTTCCTTTTTCAGTACGTGTACCATTGGTACCTTGCATGCTCAGCGGGTTCAACCTGTCATTGCTTTTTTATTTTCGAGTGGATAATACGTGGTGGATGATCCCAGTTTTGGATGATCTAACATCTGTTTTTTTAGCTAGAATAAAGCCCTGGAGGGCTAGCAAGTGGTAACAAACCGTTCATATGCAAGAATAATCACGGATATATATATATATATATATTGGGTACATTCTGTATATATATATACACATACATATTGAAGCGATATTAATGGGATGATTGGTGATTCATCACTTACTGAGTCGCTCATCCAGGTGTGGCCATGATCAGCCCGCAAGTAGCGGTAACCAAGGAGCATACGAATGGATGTGTAGCCAGGAATTGTAAGTGGCCAATAACCGTGAGAAACCCCAGTTATATGTGGAATATTTCGAGTTGGTTACCCTCTGGTAAACGTTTACACAACTATGGAAAGATCCACCATGCTATTGATGGTAAATCCACGATTTGGACTGGGCCATTTTCAAGTTCGCAAACTGTTTTAGTTTACCAGGCCGGGTAAATCCCATTAAATCACAATTTTTGTTATATAGTTTTTTATCCCATTAAACCACCATTAAACCACCATTTGCCAGAAGCTATGTATGTAAATTGCATGTCAACCGATGCCCATGTGTCACATCCCACATTTTTAAGACATCCCCAGCATTTCAATGACCCGGCCTGGTAAACCTTTAGAGTTTGCGAACTTGAAAATGGTGATTTACCCATGAATAGCATGGTGGATTTTTCCATGGTTTTCTGTAAACGTTTACCGGAGGGTAATCAGTTGCGCCATCTTCCACGAGTATCGTAGCAACCACTCCAATTCAGCATCTACCTTAAGTGTAACCAGGACAATTTCAATGTTAACAATCATGATCATCAACAGTTAAGAGTTGACCAAGAATTATCATCATTAACCATGGCTAACAATGTAGTTCAACTTAGCAATTCATGTTGGTGTCTTGTGTCAGCTAGGTATTATCCTAACCACTATTGTTCATTATCAACACAAGTTGTACCAATTGCTGACATTATCAACCGTACTTACTCTATGTTAGCAATTACTCAGCAGCAACAATTGTTCACAATGATATAGTAGTATGGTTATGATATAATTGGGCAATGATCATAGTGATTTATTATATATTCATACATAATTATTATTGTCAACAACCACTCTTACTCCTTCACCTTTGTAATAGTCAAGTCAAGACAGTCAAAGCCATGTTATGTAATTGTTTTTTTTAAATGACCACAGTTATCATTCATATACATAATTGCCCATAGTTTGCTGGATTGACGACAATTAATCATAGTTATGTTTGATTCTATAGATGCATTAATTAACCTTAGTTACCACCTGAGTTATTATCCACATACATATTCATCAATATTATTTTAACTACATACGTATGTTGATCAACAACTCCATAAAATGGGTCATATCAAGATAACAGTTTTTTTTGACATCCACTGGTCCTTTGTCAACTAGAAGGTTCCTACCAGTTACTAACCATTGTATTATGCATAGCTGTTATCCATACAACAGTAAATCATAGTTACTTCCTTTTTGGTTACTCAGTGGAATAATACTTGACTATGGGTCATCAGTTTATGCCATAGATGTTCACCTATTCCCACAACCTTACCTATGTTTTTTTGACCACAGTTACTTTCTTGATACCTTGAACACGTATCAACCATATTTTACCGTACTCCTATATAGTCGATGTATTATTCGATCATAAGTACTGCTGCCAATACCTACCATTCTATCATCAATCCAATAATCCGTTACCTTTTATTCATATATATATATATACATAGATGTCATGGATATTAACCCAAGTGAATTCAGGTTGTATATGTAGTATTTTTCCATTATGAAAACTCTATCGTTTCCCTATGGATCCATGAACATAGCTCTGGAACATGGCCCAAGATCGATGCAAGCGGTTCAACGCTTCAAATCTCACAGAGTTTTCCCGTAGTTATATGTATACTATAGCATGACATACCTATAGTATTATAGTGCTTTTGCAATTGCATGTCTTATAGCTATGGTTCTTATTGAGTCACTACGCCATGATTATTTCCGACTGGAACTACTTAGATGGGCTATAGGTTTAGCTAATTGTTAAGTAAGTGGGTTATAAACCCACGAACTATCCTCAAGTAATCCATTGACCAGCTAGTTAACTAACTCCATAGCATGGTTAAATTCACCAGTAGAATTACTATTATCATGTGTGTGTTATTATATATGATATAATAACCATAGTTTTTATGGTAATAAATAATGTAGTAGAGTCAAACATAATAAACCACTATTGCTTGTCATATATGGTGAAAACATATAGTTCTAACATATCATATTTCAACATAGTGTTATATATATGTTATGTTATTTGTACCATAAAATTTGCTAGCACCATATTGTTTTACTGTTGCAATAATATTTTATAACGTATAGTATTTCATATTACTAAGTGGTTACTAACCATGGTTTATTGGTGTTTTACTAACCATGGTTCATATTACGAATACTACTGTCTTAAGCGTTTATTTTTTCCTCATCTTTTTTCATTTTTTCGCATGCGATCCCAAAAACTCAGACATTGCTTTAACAAGTGTCATCACATGTCACCACTTGTCTGAAAAAGCACGCCCAGTGACAACACCATAAAGGTGGATGATAAGGCCCACCTGCTTGTTCTTGTTCTTGTTCTTCTTCTTGTTGTCGTCGTCGTCGTCGTTGTTCTTCTTCTTGTTGTTGTTGTTGTTGTCGCTGTCGTTGTCGTTGTCGTTGTTGTTGTTGTTGTTGTTGTTGTTGTTGGTGTTGTTGTTGTTGTTGTTCCCTTTCCTGGGCGTGATTGAGAATGCCGTGTTTTTCCAGTTCCCTTTCCCGGGTGTGATTGAAAATGCCGTGTTTTTCCAGTTCCCCGGGTGTGATTGAAAATGCCGTGTTTTTCCAGTTCCCTTTCCCGGCGTGATTGAAAATGCCGTGTTTTTCCAGTTCCCTTTCCCGGGCGCGATTGAAAATGCCGTGTTTTTCCAGTTCCCTTTCCCGGGTGTGATCGAAAATGTTGTGTTTTTCCAATTCCTTTTCTTCAGCGTGTACGAAGTGCTGTGTTTTTCCAGTTCCCTTTCTCTTTCCCAGTTCCCTTCCAGTTCCCTTCCCAGTTCCCTTCGCGGATTCCCTATGTTTTCCAAGGAAAGTGCGTTGCAGACTTTTTTCTTTTAAAAAAGAAAACATTTTTGTTTTTTCTTTAAAAAAAGTCTGCGACGCACTTTCCTTGGAAAAACATAGGGAATCCGCGAAGGGAACTGGGAAGGGAACTGGGAAGGGAACTGGAAGGGAAAGAGAAAGAGAAAGGGAACTGGAAAAACACAGCACTTCGTACACGCTGAAGAAAAGGAATTGGAAAAACACGGCATTTTCGACCACCCTGGGAAAGGGAACTGGAAAAACACGGCATTTTCAATCGCGCCCGGGAAAGGGAACTGGAAAAACACAGCATTTTCAATCACGCCCAGGAAAGGGAACAACAACAACAACAACAAGAAGAAGAACAACAACAAGAACAACAAGAACAAGAACAAAAACAAGTATAGGACAAACACAGATGTGAAACAGAAAAACGCACTTGCGCAATATCTTTCAGTACATCATCATTAAAAATAACACAAAAGTCAGCTTCGTCAAAATCTTCATCATGAGCCTTAGTTGGCCAATTCAAAATGTTCAATGCACGTCTGTCACCTAATTCATATCTTCGTACAATATGTGCTAATGTTGAACAAAAAGTGAAGCTTACCATTCGCTATAGACTCCTGCTGACCACCACCACCCGTACTGTCTTAAGCGTTTATTTTTTCCTCATCTTTTTTCATTTTTTCGCATGCGATCCCAAAAACTCAGACATTGCTTTAACAAGTGTCATCACATGTCACCACTTGTCTGAAAAAGCACGCCCAGTGACAACACCATAAAGGTGGATGATAAGGCCCACCTGCTTGTTCTTGTTCTTGTTCTTCTTCTTCTTCTTCTTGTCGTCGTCGTCGTTGTTCTTCTTGTTGTTGTTGTTGTCGCTGTCGTTGTCGTTGTCGTTGTTGTTGTTGTTGTTGTTGTTGTTGTTGTCGTTGTCGTTGTCGTTGTTGTTGTTGTTGTTGTTGTTGTCGTCGTCGTTGTCGTTGTCGTTGTGGTTGTTGTTGTTGTTGTTGTTGTTCCCTTTCCTGGGCGTGATTGAAAATGCCGTGTTTTTCCAGTTCCCTTTCCCGGGTGTGATTGAAAATGCCGTGTCTTTCCAGTTCCCTTTCCCGGGCGCGATTGAAAATGCCGTGTTTTTCCAGTTCCCTTTCCCGGGCGCGATTGAAAATGCCGTGTTTTTCCAGTTCCCTTTCCCGGGTGTTCGAAAATGTTGTGTTTTTCCAATTCCTTTTCTTCAGCGTGTACGAAGTGCTGTGTTTTTCCAGTTCCCTTTCTCTTTCCCAGTTCCCTTCCAGTTCCCTTCCAGTTCCCTTCCTAGTTCCCTTCCCAGTTCCCTTCGCGGATTCCCTATGTTTTTCCAAGGAAAGTGCGTTGCAGACTTTTTTCTTTTAAAAAAGAAATCATTTTTGTTTCTAATTAAAAAAAAGTCTGCAACGCACTTTCCTTGGAAAAACTTTGAGGAATCCGCGAAGGGAACTGGGAAGGGAACTGGGAAGGGAACTAGGAAGGGAACTGGAAGGGAACTGGAAGGGAACTGGGAAAGAGAAAGGGAACTGGAAAAACACAGCACTTCGTACACGCTGAAGAAAAGGAATTGGAAAAACACGGCATTTTCGACCACACCCGGGAAAGGGAATTGGAAAAACACGGCATTTTCAATCGCGCGCGGGAAAGGGAACTGGAAAAACACAGCATTTTCAATCACGTCCAGGAAAGGGAACAACAACAACAAGAAGAAGAAGAAGAACAAGAACAAGAACAAGAACAAAAACAAGTAGGTAGGACAAACACAGATGTGAAACAGAAAAACGCACTTGCGCAATATCTTTCAGTACATCATCATTAAAAATAACCCAGAAGTCAGCTTCGTCAAAATCTTCATCATGAGCCTTAGTTGGCCAATTCAAAATGTTCAATGCACGTTTGTCACCTAATTCATATCTTCGTACAATATGTGCTAATGTTGAACAAAAAGTGAAGCTTACCATTCGCTATAGACTCCTGCTGACCACCACCACCCGTACCGTAGATGGACGAATTATTCAAACCCTTATACATAGAGCAACCCCCCTCACCCCAAATATCAATGTTATTTTCTTGTTTGGTTCGTTCCTTCGAATGGACGAAATAAATCAAACCCCCAGAGCAGGAACAGCGCTACGAAACCATAACATTGAAATTCGGGGGAGGTAGGGGGTGGCCTATAACTCATGGATAAGGGTTTGAATAATTTGTCCATCTACTGTAGTAACCATGTTACTGGTATTACAAACCCAATATAGTTATATATAGATCATATATGTATACATGCACCATGATGCATATATAGCACCATATATTATGAGATGATTATGGTTTTTCTATATACATTATTTGTTGTTTTTATGGGTGAATATCCATAGGGTATATTTGAACATCTATAATATCTATTGTATATATTATCTATCTATATTATTGAATATTATGAAATGGCATATATATATACTATATATATATATTGTGAATATCTATGATATGTGAATATCTTTGATTGTATATAGACCATACCATATATATATATATATTATATCATCTATTAATAATTATGGATCCAACCGCCAAACACTTCCTAAGAAGGTACTTGGATCAATGGGATATAATTATTGTATTTTAAGCCTTCAGTTCTATTGTAACATTCTTATATATATATATATTTATACATAGTTAACTATAGTAATATACATGCATAACAATATACATCTATAATAATATCTATAAATATATAATACCATCTATAAATATAGTATCAAACACATACATTATGTATATAATACAATCTATTGCATATTATACCATCTACAATACCATATATGTATATATTAACTATCTATATTATTGAATATTATGAAGTGGTACATATCTATACTCTCTCTCTCTATATATATAATACCATTATTACATACATATATATAGCAAAATACGTATATAAACCATGAGATATATATATAAAACATAGTACAATATATATATATACATATATCACAAATTATTGTCTTATTATTCAATATACATAATATTAACTCAATATTTATATACATATATATATAAACATGTAATTATTCAACCCTATAGTTAATAACACCATATATTAATTCATATATATCAATATTAATAGTTAATAGTTATTCTAATAATACCATATATTATTATATTATTATTATTAATTATTATTATATACATATATACACATATTATATATATATATATTAATAATGCCATCTATCAGCCCTATAGTTCTTCACCATTTTCCCACCTCGCCGTGAGGTCCCCATGGCGGAGCCTTCGGACGAGGTGCCCAAGCCCAGTGGCCCGACCACCGCGGCGCGCACCGTGCCGGCGCAGACCTACCGCAGGCCACGAGCCAAGGCGTGGTGACGGCGGAGCTGGAATTCCTTGGGACAAAAATGGGGATTTCGGTGGGAAAATCGTGGATTTTAGTAGTATTTATTTAGTAATTTTTTTGAATAAATTTGATTTAATTGTTGAAACTATGGTTGGATTGGTTTAACTCCAATGAAGTTCTGAGACTTCTTGTTCCATTCTTCTTGGCTAGTCGCTAGCCGCTAGCTAGTATATAAACCCACTGAAAACGAAACAAACAAACGGAAGGAACTGAGGAGCATTACTGCAAGTAAGAAAAACAACAAAAATGAAAAGACCTGTGCAAGGCTGAAACAATAATTAGAGAAGAAAAACAACCTGGGAGCACAATAGCCTAATAGAATCTAATAGATATACATATGCACATACATCTATACACAATACATATCTGGTTGGTGGTTTGGAACATGAATTTTATTTTTCCATTCAGTTGGGAAGAATAATCCCAACTGACGAACTCATATTTTTCGGAGGGGTAGGTATACCACCAACCAGAATCCCTTATACAATCCCATGTGAACTCCATTTTGGATTTTACAAATTTAAGTTTTCATCTTTATGTTTTGTTTTACATCCCATTAGAATATGCAAAGTTCAGATTCTTTGAATCCCATTAAAATCCGGTGCGACATAGGTCACTTGCCTAGTTCCGTAGCTGCCTCTTGGCTGGAAAAGCTTTCTCGCTGGTGTAGGCTCTTTAGAAGTTGCAATGGGTCTCAAGTCTCTTTTGTTCCCTTGCGTCGTCCTTGCAATGAGCATGGGAGTTGCAAGCAACAGCATTATAGGCAGCTTGCAAAACATGAGCGGGAGCGAGGTCAATGAAGCAGACCACCGCCTACTTGCGCATCCGAAGTTTAAGAAGTGCACCGAGGCCTGCGACAAGAAAGATAAGGACTGCGCTAAAAATACCAACACGGTCCACAGGTTCGAGACTTGTGGCAAGGACCAAGATACGTGCTATACTTGTTGCAGTGTAGGGCATTACACCCACGCCGATTGCTGCGCCAACCACGGTCTCATCAACTGCACGAAAGCCTGAGGAGCAACTTCAGCCGTAGAGACGATTTACCCGACACCTGCGCCGACAGTGCGAGTGCAAAAGAAGTGCTCCGACAGTAGATGGTGTTGTTTGTCCATTGAAATTGCAGCCATTTGTGTGAATGACTAGAGGGTAACCACCAGAAGCTTAATTAATTTATTAGCATCTCAGTCTTCATGCTAGTTCAATATTCAGGTTTGTCGGAAAAGAGGATAACCTATTCAATCCAATTTCCCAACAGAAAGACCCAAAAACCCAACTGGTATACTATACACCAGTTTCAATCCAACCTTTCGCATCCCCGGCTGACAGGGCAAACCCAAAAATGCCGAAGCCACTGATTGGCTGGGCGACGCGCCCTTTGCCGGGGAGGAGGTTTTGAAACACCTCGAGACCACGGATAACGGTGGGCCTGGTATCTTGCAAGGAATTTGTTTGTTTGTTTTTGTTGGGAAACCTTCTGGGGAGAGAGAGAGAGATTTGTTTTAGAAATTAGAACCAACAAATGGGGATACAATGGCAGTATCGTGGATATTTATTCAACATGAACCAACCTTTGTGGATATTGTGGGATATAAGATGGATCCGGCTGTATATAGCCACCCTCCGGCAATCAAATATGGTTGGTCATGGAAAATCTCCCAACTAAATTGGGTGGGGAAACCATGTTTGACCGCCGGGTGAATGAGGTTTGAAATTGAGAAACATCAGGGTTTTGCGGGACAATACTACGACGGATGTAGTGGGATGTACATTTTGGTTAACCCGACTGGAACAGTACAACTTATTTGTTCTTTGTAACTGGCAATATTGCTTGGATATGATCATTTTTTTTTGGACATGAAAAGATCGGTCATGATTTTGTGAAAACGATCGATGTTGGCAACATTGGTCAAAAACATGTTTTCAAGCTTTTGATTTCAGATCTTTGCGGAGAATTCGGCTAAAATAACAGTGTGGATGCAGAAAAAAAATACAGTGGTTCAGGAATTCAATCCTGGGGCAACTTGATATTCCCAAAACAATGTTGGCCACATTTACCCTCTGGTAAACTAACATAACTATGGAAAATCACCATTTTTAATGGGTAAATCCACTATAAATGGCAATTTTCAATAGCAAACCCTTAGTTTACCAGAGGGTAAAATATGTTAAAATCAAGTCACAAGAAAAACCTCGGAGGGTTTTCACAACACTAGCAGGTTGCGGGCCCCAAAATCTTGCAGCTTTTTGTATGTTTACCATGCCGGGTATGGATTTCTAAAGCCACCCACCTTTCACACAGAACCACGAATTATGAGGAAATCCTGGGGATGGGACGGCAGAAGTCCATCCTTGAGTTGATCAACCAGTGGTGCCACTTTGGAGGAAGAACAAGAAATTGATTTTGGTGAACAAGAAAATTCCAACACTTTTAAGATATAGCATTGGAGATCTTCATTGTTTTTTTGGGGAGCTGATCCTTCAATTCTTTCTTGAATCGATCCTATTTCTTTGTGAAATTGATGAGTAACTGGGTTGATATGCCTGTCATATCCCCTGGAGGATTGTTATATGAGTGGTCAAAACCAATGTTTTTCTTGTTTTTTTCTGTTGCTTAACTCCTTAAAAAAGTCAACGTTTTTCATGTTTAATGACGAGTTAAGTACTTCATGATGGTTTGAAAACGGATCACATGAGATTCGCGGTCACACCGCATCCCACGTTACTTGGAAGTGCAGTTCCAGTGTGGATACATAACCATAGTTATAGGGGCCCCATATCCCAACTTGTGGGGTCTTTAGTTCACCATGGTTGTACCCATACAAGAGTGCCTCAACTGCACCCCCAAGTATAATGTATTCATAAAGTATAATATATTCATATATATGTATACACATTATAATATATATATATATTTAAAGTCAGTTAAGTTCCTTAATCAGTTGATGCTGATATCATATCCCTTTAAAAGTCCTCGCTGATATTCCCAGTCACATCTTCCAGGTAAAAGCGCCGTGATGTACTCGCACTTCTGGATGCTGCGCCGGGTACAGCGCGGCTACGCCTGCTTCGACGCCTATGCGCGCATTGCCTTGGCAGTAGCGGCACAGCAGATGCTGCTGGTGTGGCCTGGCGGTATGGTTAGTATGGTTTCAATGTATGGTTAGTATTACCCTCTGGTAAATTAACATAGACCCTGAAAATGACAAATTTATAGTGGAACTAGTCTTCCAACCCCTATTTGGCAGGGTCTATGTTAATTTACTGGAGGGTATACAAAAAATCATAACATGAGTATTACTTTTAGCTAAATGATATTAGTATACTGACATCTATATATCTAAATGATATGAACATCTGACTAGTTTTGATACAGGATCACCGAAAAAGTCATCGCATCCAATAGGGGGATGAACATCCATAAATCCCAATGGGAATATGTCGAAGTCGAAGTCGATGGTAGTTACAGCTGGGAAATCCCAGTTAATGGGGGCGAACCATCAAAGCAAGCTATGCTATGTGATGAATCCTGTATGGTATGGTTTTGTGAATCCAGTCAGCAAGCAAATGTCGGTTTGATTCGATCAAAGTGTATCTTGGAACCATCAAAGCAAGGTTGTCAAAGTCCGAACATGTGAGTTGGCTACTTTTTCGAGATAAACGTTAACACCTCCCCAACTCAATCGCAAAGAGAGTTGGTGGTTTCGTTCATTTTTTTCTTTAATCTTTCCTTGGGATGTGGATCCTCAAAAATGAGATTCTAATGAGATGCTTTCTCCAAGAATCACCAAGATCATATAATTAGCACAACTAGCTTTTCTAACATCTTTCATGAATCCAATTAGACTCATATATATTTTTCTTGTGACTTAACTAATTTGCTTGTAAGATTGGGGGATCTCCAAAAAAATCAAGTGGATCTCTCTGATTCGATTCTGGGAAACTGTTGAGGTGCGCTTACTACTCCCTGGGCCATTTCATGTCGAAGATGGACAAATGGCCCACGCGTGCGCAGAACCCGGGAGCCGCCTGGTTGTCGCTGGCCGCCACCGTCTTCGCATCCACCACGCTCTTCAAATTGGCGCCTCGGCATGCCTCGGTCGAAAAACGGGATGCAGGGAATCAGCAATTGTTAAACAACGGGTAGTGGGGTAAAATGGGGCAAGAAAACACGGGAGTCAACTTTGAGTCAACTATGCAAGTGCACTGTACTGTTGGGTGATGGTGAATTACATAGGTATAGCATGGTATAGCTTCAAAAGTCTGTTTTTGAGCAACAAAAGTGTGGCAGAAAATAAGACTTACTGTAAGAGAATATAGGGAGTCAGAAGCCAACAAACATGGGAAGGTCACCCCAAAATGGACATCACCTTGCTGGTTTCTTCAGCAGATCCCTCCTGTCAGGTGATCACCAATGTGCAGCCAATGTGAAATGAGGTCAATCCCCATTTTGCTTGAGCCCATGACCTTTACATGATTACCCTTTTGGCAAGCAACCCTGTTCCCCTAGATTCCTAGATCTTTTCCTCTCATGTGAGATCTCTGAATTTTTCGAGCTCATAAAGAGCAACCTGAGGATTTGTTCTGCGGCTGGCGCTATCGCTATTTGATGATGTTGAATTTGATGCTGCCCCCCTTGCTGGCAGGGCTGGCTATCCATTTGGGAGCTGCGCGGACCAACCACGGTACCATGACCAAGCCATGAAACCGCCACGGTCACCACGGGGCGGTTCGGTGGTTCGGTTGACACCATGGTGACGACTGGGGACGGGATCCCCCATAGTCCTGACACCCCCGCTTCAGGTTTTGTTAGCTTCATCCTGGGTGAACTCTAATAATAAATATATATATTTATAAATATGTATATATGTATATATATATATATGTATGTATACATATATAGAATTTATATATGTAGACATACTGGTGGTGGAAGAAATCCTGCACCAGCTGGTGGTAAACATCCCATTATTTACAGGGTTTCAATCATCCTGTTGGTGCCTCCCGTCACTTAATTCGTGCAATTTTCGTGCTCCCCGACTCTTTGAAATCAAAAAACAATGTTGGATGGTTTAAATTCTGATGTTGTTACTATAGATTTCTATGTTTTATTGTATGCTATAGTACTTGTGATGTTTATGTTTTCTGGTTTATGGTTGTAGTTATTGTAATTATTCCCGCCAACAATTGTTTATGATGATAATGGTTGTAGTAATTTTTCAATAATGTTGGAGGGAATTATTACTGTAGGGTTTCCCATTTTCAAGGGTTATAGTAATTATATAAATTATATATGTAATGATTCCCTCTATACGATTCCGGGAGTATAATGCCAATTTAAAACTGCTAGCTTTTTAACATCACTATTGCACTGCCCAACTGAGCAGTGTTCGAAACCCTTGTTGGCGTATACTACCCAATATATTGCGGATTATCGGACATCAGATCATCATCATCATCATCATCATCATCCTCATCCTCATCCTCATCATCCTCATCATCCTCATCCTCCTCATCCTCCTCATCCTCCTCATCCTCCTCATCCTCCTCATCCTCCTCATCATAATCATCATCATCATCATCATCATCCTCATCGTCATCCTCATCCTCATCCTCATCCTCGTTAGCAGGTCGGGAAACCTAGGCCTACGTCGAAAAGCCAAACACAGGAAACACTGAAAAGTATAACGGGGCAGTTGCTTGCATTTGCGTCGCCGTGCGCTGCAGAGGCCTCATTTGAAGATGCTGTAAGTCCTGCGTCCTTTGAACGACACTTGCGAGGCAGGGTGGCAAACGTTTCCGTGTGCTATAAAAACAAAAGTTATAAAAGTTTGAACTGCGAAGCGACTTCATGCTGCCAGGTGCAATTCTTCAATTCTCCGGCCTCGTCAGCAAAGCTGTGAGGCAGGCCTGCGTGGCCCCGGCGACAACCATCCGCCTGAGAGGCGAAAAAGAGATTCACGACCGCGCGCTCGTTCTTGCTTGAGTTGCAACCTTACTCGGTTAGAATTGGAACTGGATGGATCATTTAAGATTTTTAAGGTATTCGAATTCGACCTTGTGTTCAATTGCTTGAAAACAAGCTTTCATTGTCAAATGCGGGGGCCAAAGACCTACAATGTAGCGATGCCCCTTTTCAAGGTTATGTCATTGTATTTCTCTAATATCCACATTAGCGATACCCAAATTGGACGTTGATTTCTGTGAATTATAAATATATAAAAGTAGCAGTTTCCGGCAAGCGATACCCCCCAAGTTTACCATATATCATTATTGTACAAACGTGTGGTAAGCGATGGGACCTTCCTAAATTTGTGGATGTCCTTTCCGTGAACCTAGGGTTTTCGAGATTGCTCACATGGACCCAAAGAAATCCGTTTGTGTATCTCAAAACTAAGAATGTTAGATTTCATCTTCACACCATATTTTTCTCATACCCAGGGCCTTGGGGAAACGTCCGTTCTTGTTCAACGTCATGCACCATGGCAAGGGTCTCACCCAGCATCCAAACAAGACTGGTTGATGGCTGCAACCCCAAAAACACAGCAACCACTATATAATGATACTAATTGTTTTGATCTTATTCTGTGCGATCCAGAGTGACCAGTGTTTCTCCAAGCAGGTTGTCATGTCAGTTTGTAGCACAAAGTAGTATGGGAAGGCTCTGGGAAGTAGTTTGCGCAAGCTTTTCAGTACAAAGTAGTACTGGGAAGAAAACACGTGGACAAATTGATGAACGCCATGGAAAATTGAAGCAAAACCATGAAAACCTAAGGAAAACCATAGAAAATGGTTAAGGGAACAATGAGTTTGGCCGGATTTTTTTTGATTGTAATAATATTTCCCCACAACTTTGTGTGGGGTTCTTGTTTTTGATTCTGTATCCCGGGTCTGCTCCGCCTCCTCCTCCTCCCGCCTCCCGCCTCCACCTCCACCTCCACACATGTCACGCACACACACACACTCACACATACACAACTTTGTCACACCCCATCTCTCACATACCATAACTTCACACACACACAAATTTAACATACAATAACTTCACACACACTAATTTAACATACAATAACTTCACACACACACAAGTTTCTCACATACCATAACTTCACACACACAAATTTAACATACAATGACTTCACGCACACACAAATTTAACATACAATAACTTGACACACATACACACACTCACGCCCCATCTCTCACATCACACAACTTTCTCACATACCATAACTTCACACACACACAAATTTAACATACAATAACTTCACACACACACACACCTTTGTCACATACCAATCTCTCACATTCCATAACTTCACACACACACACACTCCCGCCACCACCTCCACACATGTCACATACCATAACTTCACACACACAAATTTAACATACAATAACTTCACACGCACACAAATTTAACATACAATAACTTGACACACACTCACACCGACACCCCATCTCTCACATCACACAACTTTCTCACATACCATAACTTCACACACACAAATTTAACATACAATAACTTCTCGCACACTAATTTCACACACAACTCATCCACCTTCGTTTCGCGTGGCAGGCGTGGCACAATCTTACATCCACCTTCGTTTCGCGTGGCAGGCGTGGCACAATCTTACATCCACCTTCGTTTCGCGTGGCAGGCGTGGCACTCATGGCACTCCGTGGCGCGCTTGGGTCTGGTTTGGGCGCGCCCTGGTCGCGCGTGACGCCGCGGCATTTTGCGTGGCAGAAGTAGCACAATCTTACATCCGCCTTCGTTTCGCGTGGCAGGCGTGGCGCAATCTTACATCCACCTTCGTTTCGCGTGGCAGGCGTGGCACTCATGGCACTCCGTGGCGCGCTTGGGTCTGGTTTGGGCGCGCCCTGGTCGCGCGTGACGCCGCGGCATTTTGCGTGGCAGGCGTGGCACAACCTTACATCCACCTTCGTTCTTTCTGGCGGGCGTGGCACAATCTTACATCCACCTTCGTTTCGCGTGGCAGGCGTGGCATAATCTTACATCCACCTTCGTTTCGCGTGGCAGGCGTGGCACTCATGGCACTCCGCGGCGCGCTTGGGTCTGGTTTGGGCGCGCCCTGGTCGCGCGTGACGCCGCGGCATTTTGCGTGGCAGGCGTGGCACAATCTTACATCCACCTTCGTTTCGCGTGGCAGGCGTGGCACAATTTTACATCCACCTTCGTTTCGCGTGGCACGCGTGGCAATTATGGCATTCCGTGGCGCGCTTGGGTCTGGTTTGGGCGCGCCCTGGTCGCGCGTGACACCGTGGCATTTTGCGTGGCAGGCGTGGCACAACCTTACATCCACCTTCGTTTCATGTGGCAGGCGTGGCACAATCTCACATCCACCTTCGTTTTGCGTGGCAGGTGTGGCACTCGATCATGGCACTCCGTGGCGCGCTTGGGTCTAGTTTGTGCGCGCCCTGGTCGCGCGTGACGCCGCGGCATTTTGCGTGGCAGGTGTGGCACAACCTTACATCCACCTTCATTTCACGTGGCAGGCGTGGCACAATCCTACATCCACCTTCGTTTCGCGTGGCAGGCATGGCACTCATGGCACTCCGTGGCGCGCTTGGGTCTGGTTTGGGCGCGCCCTGGTCGCGCGTGACGCCGTGGCATTTTGCGTGGCAGGCGTGGCACAACCTTACATCCACCTTCGTTTCACGTGGTAGGCGTGGCAATCTCACATCCACCTTAGTTTCGCGTGGCAGGCGTGGCACTCATGGCACTCCGTGGCACTCCGTGGCACTCCATGGCACTCCGTGGCGCTACATACACACATACATACATACATACATACATCCATTCATCCATCCATCCATCCATGCATGCATGCATGTATACATACATACCTACCGTTTTACCTTCTCGATCTTTCACCATCTCCTTTGTCTTTCCTTCCTTCCCTCTCCCCGCTAAAACCATTGAAGCTCATTATTGGAAGAAGTTGACTTGTGGGGTTATCCGGTCCTTTAATTTTTTTGATACGCTTGCCAGGCCCGGCAGGCCCTTGGCGCAGCCGACAACGCAAGCGGCTGCCTCAGACCAAGTGAAGTGCAGAAATATGTTGTTGCAATGATTGCTCGAGGGGATGGATATGGGTTAGGACAACTCGTTTTGAAGCCAGGGTTTTTCACGCATGTTGCTTTGTTGCATCGCTTGTTGGTGCAGAACTTTTTTTTTGACCAAACATGATTATGGGTTAGTTTTCTGATCGCCCCAAAATTGGATAGTTTAATGCCAAAAAAGAGATATAGAAAAACACAAATCGTGGCGCGATGCTGAGGTGCCATGCGCTACGCCCTGGTGGCAGGAGGGTCTGCCCTCCCACCACCAGAGGCAAAGGCGTGGCAGGCCGGGGCAGGCCAAGGTTCAAAGGTGGACATCGCCAGAATCAGGTATTTGGAAGTCTGGCAGTTTCAGGGTTGTTGTTGAATCCTCTACTTGAACCTAATAGACTTCCTCTATAAATCCATATTTTTCAACTCCCGCAAGGGGTCTCAAACAAAAAACAGCAGGGGATTCTCATCGAAACCTCAGAAATTTCTTGGGGAGGTTTATGGTGTGGTGAGACCCACAATGGTTCTGATTTCAGAGGTTCCTCCATCTACAAAAACCTGCAGGTAGCCTTAGAGAACCGTATCCAGCTGGAATGGTTCCTGGTGGCTTGGCTTGATTGTTCGGGTCTTCATAATGATTTGGCAAAGCACATGTGCAGATGTTGTCTGCAAGATATGGAGGCGCCAGTGCAGAAGGTCACATTTTGAATCTAACCGTTCAGCACGCAAATTGTTCTGCGCAACAACTTTTAATGTTCCTTTCCAACTGCTGCAAATCGGCTCCAGCAAAACAAAAAACGTGTGAAAGTGCGTAGAACACGTGTGCCTCACACTAAGCCGCGATGGCTGCAATCCTGGTGCTGCTGCGCGACTCCGCGCGAGGAAGATAGGTCTTGCAGACCAAAGAGAGAGAGAGAGATAGACAGATAGATAGATAGATAGATAGATAGACAGATAGATAGATAGATCGACCGATAGATTTTTAGCTAGATAGCCAGATAGATAGCTAAATAGATAGATAGATAGATAGATAGACAGATAGATAGATAGATAGATAGATAGATAGAGAGATAGAGAGATAGAGAGATAGAGAGATAGAGAGATAGAGAGATAGAGAGAGAGAGAGATAGATAAGAAAGATAGATAGATAGATAGATAGATAGATAAACAGATAGATAGATAGATAGATGGATGGATGGATGGATGGACGGATGGATGGATATACAGATAATGATATAGATAGGTAGATAGGTAGATAGGTAGATAGACAGAATTGATAGCATGTAACTACATGTATACAGACTGGGCGCCGGGCACCTCAATCACCCGGCATTGTGCAGGGCTCCTAGTTTCCGATGGCGCGGGGGGGAATGTACCACGAGATGAGCTTCTTTCATTTTCATTGATGTTTGACAAGAGGGGGCAGGGGCCTGAGAATTTTCTAGAGGCCATCTTTTTGGAAATAGTGCCTGCTCTAGCAATTTTGGTGGGCATGGCTTCAGCGGGCATTTGCTTTTTAAGCCACGCGCAAGAAGACATATAAAACCGACCGGCTTGTCAAACATAAATCATTTTGGAGGGGGGGAAAACTCTGCTGTCGAATCAAGCGCCGAAGTTTATACAAATGGATAGAAAACAGAAGCAATTAATCAATAACAAATCCAAATATATATATATATAGATAAATATAGATATAGTTCTTGTGTTTGCAAAACCGTGACTACATGGAACACACGCACATATAGCTATATATATATACTTTAAGCAGTACATTTACATTGTGACATGTTTCGTCATGCCTCTACATATGCATGTTTTTAGTAAGGTAACACACATAAATAGATAAATGAATAAAATCATGAATAAATAGCTGGTGTGTATATATATATATATCTATCTATATATATATATATATTTACAAAAATACACACGCACACACATATATATATAGTACATACATGTTTCTACATATTTTTTTTTTAAAATATATTATATAGTATTGTTGTCGTCAGGCGAAGGGAACTACTGCAGATCGGCGATCCTGGGAAGGCTTGGGGCCGCAGCAAAATAGTCAGTATCCATGCATAAAAAGCAGAGAGATGTGTTTGACTGTGGCTACGCGCGCGTTTACTTGCACGACCTGCGAGGTTTGTCATCGGTGCCGTCAGCACTCGCTTCGTGCTTGCCTGAGCTGTCTCCATTTGCGCGGCAAATTTAGAATCTAAAGCACATTCGCTCGTCACAGTTTTGGTGCAAGTATAGCAAGATCACTCGACCCCGACCGAAACTGTCACTTATTCGGCCCAAGAACTTTGCTGTACGTGTGCAAGATACGGCAGTTCCTCCTTTTTCTTCTTGCGCTTGCTTCCATGGCGCATTATCTGGTTTTGGTTGTGGTGCCGCAGGAGTTTGGTTTCTTTTGCTGCTGCTTTTCAAGATGAATTTAAACTTGAACTATGTCCGCTACGTAATGCATCGTTTCTTGTTCAGGATCCATGAAAAATATAAATTTGATCTAGGTAACACACACACATTTGTATATATATACATACATATCACCATCATCATCATCATCATCTTCATCACCATCATCATCATGATCATCGCCGTGGTCATCATCGCCATCGTCATCATGATCATCGTCATCGTCATCACCGTCATCACCGTCATCCTCATCCTCCTCACCATCCTCATATTCCTCACCATCCTCATCCTCCTCACCATCCTCATCCTCCTCACCATCCTCATCCTCCTCATCATCATTATCATCATCATCATCATCATCATCATCCTCATCCCCACCCCCATCCTCATCCTCATTCTCATCCCATGTTTCCTCACAAATCTCAAAAACCTTCGTTATTGGAGTTATGTTCACCAACTTAGCTCCCATGAAAAATCTCCATGAAGTCTCAAAATTCTGGTGAAATCTCCCAATTTTTCCAACAAATCAAACATCATGACGAAATCCCATGGAAATCTCCATGAAGTCTCATTCAAATCATTAAATCCCATGAAAATTCCATGCAAATCTCCACATGTTTCCCATGTTTTCCATCCAAAAAAACATGGAAAATCCCAGGTGTTCTGACCATTTTTCCCAGGAAAGGGAGGCATCCGCCCCTGCGACCAAGCCATACCGGCCTGGCTCCCCTGGTTGCTGGCCATTGCGGCCTGCACGGGGCACATGTGTCCCGAGTCATGGACGCGTGGGATGTTTATGGTACATATAACATGATTTATTGGGATCTGTTGGGATTTGTTGGGGTTTAATGGGATTTATTGGGATTTGTTGGGGTTTAATGGGATTTATTGGGATTTGTCGGGGTTTAATGGGATTTATTGGGATTTGTTGGGGTTTAATGGAATTTCATTGGGATTTATTGGGATATATGATGGTATATTAATGGTAGTTTATTTATGGCATATTTTGGAATATTAATGGAATAGTTATGGTACAGGATGGGGCCCCATAGATAGCTAAGTTGGTTTAGAACTATAGTAACCATAGTGTATGATACTTATAGCATCTTATAACTATATTTGGATGGGGTTATATAAACCAACTTATAACATCTAATAACTGGAGGGCCCCATCCTGTAGATTATTAACCCATGAACTATACCCATATGCTCCATGTATAGTCTATTTGCCTACATTTGGGCCATTTATGGGGTAAATGTTGGCAATTATTCCAGTACCATGGAGCATATGGGATAGTTTATGGGGTTTATAAACCAACAAACATAAGTGGAGGGCACCATCCTGTAGACTTGGGGTAAACGTTTACAGTTTGCGAACTGGACAATCACTATCAAACTCATAGGTAAATCAACGAACTAAATGGGCCATGTTCAATATCTATGTAACAAATTACCAGAGGGTAAAGAATAGACTTGGGGTAGTCATTTTTTCTGTTGTTAAAACATTACCGACAGACCACTTTTTTTGCAGATACCATTTTGTTATCTGTTTGTTGATATTGTAATTGAGCCATCAAAAATACCCTGGTTAATTCATTGCTATAGGGGATTATACCTGGTTTACTGGGGATTATGATAACCCATAGTAGGGGTTCACCATGTTTCACCTATCAACCAACTAGTATAATGAGATATTTCAAAAGTCAGACCACCTTTCTCAGTCGGCTTCTTGCTGGAGCAACTCTTCGTGTAGCGAGTTGTGACCGAAAAAAACAACCGTACAGTCCCGGCGGAAAGGCCTGTGGCCGATTTAGTGATACCCCTTGCAATGATGGAATTATGTAGGTTTTTGTTTAAGACATATCCGGATATCAGGTATATGGATGTGTATATCAACGTTTTTTATGATATTATATATTTTTTTAATACATTATTGGTACCATCTGGTTATTTAACATAGCCATGGACAATCACCTTTTTTAATAGGTAAACCATCTATAAATCGGCCATTTTCCATGGCTATGTTGAATAACCAGAGGGTGTATATATATATACTATGATACCAATGGATGTTTTTAAGTGTAACTCTTCCGGGAGACCCTCCGGCAACAGTTCGCAACATGGTATAGATGACCCATTTACCGTCCTTCAAAGTTATGATTTTCCATGTCGCAAAGTGCAAGGAATTACCAAAGGTTGGTCTAGGTATCCCACATCACCGGGAAAATAAGTCTTGTAAAAAAGTAGGATGAATATATGTGATATTTGTATATAATTATATAATATATACAGTCTATATATTTAGTATAAATTATATAAAAAAAAATATATATATATATATGAATACATACAGTCTATATACATAATATTTATATGTTCATTCGAGAGATTTCAGATTTGGGTATGGCTCAACTATTGGGCTCCCAAGATTCGTTTGGTGCTGAAAAAATAGCCGTTTGCGGGCCTAAAAAGGCACAGTTACGGTAGCTGACTTTACCCAGACCTCGGTAAACCTTGGGTAACCCATGCAGTTTCCTCTGTTTCGGTTGCCATCAATGGGGATGTATTTTTTTTCTGGCCAGGCGGAAGGTAAAGCCGTAAAGCCATACAGTAAATGAGATTTTTCAGCCATGACAGCCAGATGGTTATCCCATGTTACCCTCTGGTAAACTGTTACATAACTATGGAAAATCACAATTTTTCATGGGAAAATCCACTATAAATGGACCATTTTCAATAGCTATGTTAAATTACCAGAGGGTATTTGTTATCCCATTGATAGTTATCCCCGGTCGAATCTCCGCGCCGATGATAGGATTTCACCTCTGGTTTCTACGTTTACATAGCGAACTGGAAAGCTCCACCATGCTATCTAGCTGGGTAAATCAACGAACTTTCGACTAGGGCCATTTTCTATGTCGCTATGTTAAATTGGAGAGTAAAACCTATGGATTTTCTCCCATTACAACTAGTCATAAGCCTACGATAAGTTGACCCATCAGCTGGCAACAGGCTGGAACATTCTCATCCAGCGCGTGGCTGCACCCTTGGTGGAGCCTTGATGATGTTCACCTGCTGATTGGGGTGGGAAGCTTCAGACATAGGCGTGAAGAAGTGGTAAAAAAATGTAAAAAGATAGTTTGTTTTACTTTAAAACAATAACACACCACCCACTTGGGAATGGTTTATACCACCTTTTTGTGGTGGTTTGGAGGATGGTTTATTGTTGTTTTACCCACATAGATATCTTTTGGACATGCTAAGCAGTGAAGAAATGCAGGGTGTGTAAGGACAACTGGCCATGCAATTCTTCACTGCCGCAGAAGGAGAACTGGCTGAGGCAAACTGGTTGGTTGCTTCACTTTATCCAACATGATCCAACTAAATTTTGACATATTTTGACATATTTGGGTGATGTTTTTTAGTCAAATGTTCACATTTGGTTGGATTCAAATCCATATGTTCACATGATGTTTGATGCTTCAATCCCACCACAGGGCTGTGTTCAATCCAAGTGATTTAGCACATCTCCGAGTCTATCACATCATTGGGCACCGTTAATTTAATCATAGCACTGTAATCACCATTTAAATCCCATCAAATTCCGTTACAATTTTTGCTCCAAAAAAATCCCGGTCACATCATTCCCCAAAGCACTGACAAGGACGGTTCCAGTGGTTTGCCGCTCTCCTTCCGTTCGACGATCTACCTGGACGTCTTCGGATGGCACTCGCGGCATTTCTCCGCCGCCGCTGTGGTGAACGCCGTGGACGGGGCGCATCACTGGGAAAACGCCGAGAAGATGCTCTACGACGCCATGGAAACGCGGCGGAAAGCAGTGGACAACCTGAATTTTGTAGGGTCTGGAAAAAACTTGGAGGTTTTTTATTGATGCCCGGACCCCAACATCTATATCGGCATGTATTGAACAACGCAGTGGTACAAATGAAATAGTGGCAGAAAATGGCTTGGAGGTTTTAGCGAGAAAACTGTGGTTGAACATATAGAAATTGTGGTTTTGCCAGTGAGGGGATGTACCAACAAAAAAACTTAGGGAATGAACACTAGCACACATGGGGGTTTTCTCAACAACAAATTGGATTACTGGGCCGGGAACGGTGCTTTGGACTTTTGTCATACCAAATCCATCCGCATCCCATGATTCCGAGGACAAGCAACGTCCGGACAACAAGTACGTGGTCCTGGCCCACCAAGATGCGAAGCGCATCAGTAAGAACTTGGCGCGGGTGACGCAGCCAGAGGTGGCGTGCCACCTCACAAGGGAGGCGGGTGCGGGTGATGGGGGACCGGGGACCAGCACTGAAAGGTGGGAAATCCAACCTGACTAGCTGTCAAAACCCGTATTGCAGGGAAAATCATCCATAAATGGTGATGGAACCAGCAAAAGTGTGGGTATAACATGGTATAACATCAAGAATAAAGGGGAAAATCGGGATATAACTATAACTGGTTTTCCATTGCCACGGTTGATTGATTACAGGAGGGTATACAAGTATACGGGAACTTGAAAGCTGAACCCGCAATATTTGTGGGTAAGAATGCGATGCACCTTGTATATTTTCCCGTAAACCTGTCCATTGACAGTAGGGCTGTCAGACTAGCTGGCTAATGACCAAATGAAATACTCCAGTGAGATATTCTGTTGGATATTTGGTTATATCATGTTATATCCACACTTCACTTAGATGAATTGGTTTCTATGGGTAAAAACCAAGGTAGATAAACGACTTCGGATGCACATCCAAGCAGTCCCAGGATCAAAAAATCCCGGGAATGTAATTATTATTTTGATGTATATATATCTTTAGGAAATCCTGACATGGATAGATATATATATATATAATATACAGTATATATCTATATATACAGTATATGATATAACACATAAAGATTTGAGTCCCAAGGACTCGGGGTTGAACATGGACTGAGGGCTTGGAGGAACCCGCTAAATTCGGGCTTTTTGAGAATCTAAGCGGTGTACCCTGTGGTCAAAAAGCAAATTTGTGGCGAACTTCAGGCAACATCATCCCTTCCTTGCAATATACCCGGCCTGGTAAACGTTTACAGTTTGCGAACTTGAACATCACCATGTTTAATGGGAAAACTCACTATGTCGACTGGGCCATTTTCAATAGCAAACGGTTAGTTTACCAGAGGGTATCCTTTTATTCAATATCAGCCCTGTTAGAAACCGGTGGTTTAGTGTTGGATCCCTTCATTTTGGGGCTACCAATGGCGGCATTTGTATTTGACATTGGTGGGAAGTTTTCTGAAAGTTGAATGAGACAGTCCCATGTTATGATGATTTTATAGTGATTAAATGGGATTTATAGTGGATTTACCCATCTATAATGGATTTACCCATGTTCCAGCTGGGCTCCGAGATCAATAAATCACTTTGAATTTGTCCATGATCCAGCTGGTTTCCCAGCTTGGATCGCCAACAATTGGTTGACCACTCATGACCATTCCAAAAAAGCCGAAGCGGAATGAATCTTCAATGCTAGGTCAATCTTACATGGATACTTTAATCCTTTAGTCTTTTGGTATTAATGGGAATATCTACGTTCACCAGCAAAGAATGTGTCATTTTTTGCAGGGTATCTAAGATTGGCAATGCATGTTTTTGGAGCACGTGTTGTGGTCGCTTTTCGGGGCAAGATGACTCTTGGTGTCACCGCTTAAAAAACACTGGTCCTGCAGGAGCAAGATGACTTGCAGCACCTGAAATTGACTGTGGAGGATTACATCCATGAACTGGAGAGCTGCTTGGCTAGAAACAAACTTGGCGAAATTTCGGGAGTGACATACTTCTGCATTAATGTGGGGACAACAATGCCATAAGCCACCCATGACTGGGAATGGTTTATACTATACCACCTATAAAAATGGTGATTTGGGGCATGATTTCTTCCAACATTTTCTCCGCAAATGAAGTTTCCTGCAATCAGTCAAGCTAATGTTCCGCTCACTCATGTGTTTGCGGGCAACCCAATAATGAACCATAAACCCAGCATTTGGAGATGGTTTGTAGCCATTTATGATGATTTTGGGAATGGTTTATGGCATTACGTTGCACAATAAGTTCAAATCTCCAGATGTTCCCATATGAATGGGGAGGATGAAGGCTTCAAAGGTCCATACACACAAGCTACACAGAGAAGAGAAAAGATGTGAACAGAAAGGTACAGTAACAGTTTTTTTGTTTGGGTATACACATATATCTTAAAGAACCATCCCAGTTATACAAATACTACTTGTACTTAACAATCAGTTAGCATCGCTCAACAGTTGGGTTCATTCCAGTACTAGAATGAGAAAAACAAGCTGTGATCCGGATATCACAACTTCTCGAAATTACATTTTGGATCTAGAATTGGTTATAATTTTAAATCTACAACTATCCAAGATTGAATTTGGACGAACTTGGGACTTTAAATCCAATTGTCACTTGATGAACCAATATGTTTTCAAGAGCAGGATGATCTGATGATTGTTTTGAGATACTTTGACTATCATCAATTATCATTTGTTTATTAATCAGTAATTGGATGATCCTTTGACATATCTTGACCCCCATATATATAACTATAAACATCCATCTATAGTTGGCGATTTTTGAATAGAAAATCCAGATATACATATTATACGGATCCCGTGTATATCTTTATAATATAATATGATATGATATAATATAACATAATATAATATAACATAACATAATATAATCTAATATAATAAAACATATAATATGATATCAACCTTCCTTTGGATCATCCCTTGCCGTGACCGAGGTCAGATGTCTCTCCCCGTCCGCGAGGACCTAAAATCGGGCGCGCCATGCTGGTTCCAATGCAGCTCAGCGCCGAAACCGGGGACCCGGGGACGCGGGGGAGAAGCTGCCAACCGCCTGAACATGCAGTCACGTACAATATATATATAATATATATATAATATATATATATAATATATATATATATAATATATATATATACATATATATATATATACATAATGTGTATATATATATATTACTTATTGTATATATATATATATTGTCATTTTCATGCAGTGCAACGTAATGACAATACTTTATCACAGGTGTTTCAAGACTTAAATGTTAAGTCGTGCTGTTTAGCCAATTGATGTGACTCTCATCTGAATTGCTGATCTCCGTAGCCATTTTGGCTCAAGTTTTGGCTCAGCACTCGTTTCTTTCGTGCTGCTCCGTTGCTTCATCCAATGGCTGGCTTGGTGCCCTTGAGAAACCCGGCATTGGATGCGGGTGAGATCGAAATGAATGTCCGATTTCTGGACCCTGGCTTGGCAATGGCCGTTGGCCCGGATCGCATTTCAACCCACTCTATGGGGGATTCAGTGCGCACTTTGGCGCAGTCTGCAGAGTGGCACGGGTGCGGACCTCCGGCCAGATTGGCTTCACTTTTACTGGTATGCCGCAACGGAGAAGAGCCTTTGACTTCTCGTCCAGCTGAGGTTCCTGTTGATTTCATGCCTTTGCCCGACCGACCACAGCCATCCGAAGATCAGCTTCGCAAGGTTCATCATCATGTGGAGTCCTTAGTTCTGAAGGCTACGGACATGCTGGAAGGCATTGGCTTCAACAACCGTGATGCCCTCAATGAAGCGGAGACCCTGTTTTGGTCCGACATTCGCGACTTCACTGTGGCCGATGTTCAAGCCTTGAAGAAGCGCCGCGTCGACCGTGCTGCATCAACCGTGGAACAGATGACCGAAAGGGACTGAGGGGGGATTTCGATTCCATCTACAACTTCTTCTGGACATTTACCAATTTTTCTTTTCAATGGTTACATAGTTTGGCAACAATGCCTTGATGTTGGCCCAGACAGAAACGCATGCTTTTGATCGTCGGCTGCACGAGGGTCGTGTTTTTGATGGTGGAGTACTGTGGTACCTTCATGAAAGGAAGTTGAGAAGTCAAACTTCCGACGGCGTGGACAGCTGGCAACCACCATCAGTCAGACGCAAGAGATGTGTGCCCGTGAAAGATGGAAAGTGCGTGCAATGGTGTGTTTTTGCACCCCGATCATCCGAAAGGTAGGCTCGCTAAAGCGGCGCGTGTGGAGCTGTCTGGCGGAACGGTTGCCACAATTTGGCGTGCCGCCGTGGTGTGCAGCGCATTAGATAGATAGACAGGCAGGCAGTCAGTCAGAAGGTCATCAGGCACACAAAAAGATAGACAGACTGCCGGACAGACAGGTAGACAGACGGATGGACAGTCGGACAGGCAGGCGGATAGATAGTCAGGCAGACACAGACAGATAGATATCAGATAGATTTCAGATAGGCAGATAGGCAGATAGGCAGACGACAGATACTCAGACAGTTTGATAGACTGTCAGACAGACAGATAGACAGTAGATGGTCAGGCAGACAGAGAGGTAGAAAGTCAGACAGGCACATGGGCAAATTGTCACACGCACAGGCCGAGAGACAGATAGATAGATATAGATAGACAGATAGACAGATAGATAGATATAGATAGACAGATAGATAGATAGATAGATACATAGATAGATAGATTAGATTAGATTAGATTAGATCAGATTAGATTGGATTAGATTAGATTAGAATAGATTAGATAGATAGATAGATAGATATACAGACAGAGAGACGACCGACCGACCGACCGACAGACAGACAGACAGACAGACAGATAGACAGACAGACAGACAGACAGACAGATAGTCAGACAGACCGGCAGACAAGCAGTCAGACAGATAGTCTCGCAGACAGATAGAGAGTTAGACAGAGAGACAGAATAAATCCAGGCAGGCAGACAGACAGTCAGCCATGCTTCATTCTGCGCTGTGTCGCTCTGGCAATCATGCGTCCCAACCACAACTTTTCATATATTATAAGCTACCTATCTTCGAACTTCCGCCGCCGCGTGGTACTACTGTTATGTTTTCTGAAGTGATTACTTTGTTTCTTGTTTTAGACCGTGCGTGATTGCAGATCCTGTGTCAAGACACAGATCGCGACCAAAGAATTCGTATTGTTTTCCCGCAAGGAAATTGCGCGTGGAAAGTTTCCGGGTATACCAAGAAAGGTTGAGAGAGGTGTTGCTACTTCAGCGGCCGTCCTAGCCAACGATGGGACAGTCTGGTGCTTCCATTCGCAGGAATGGGAGCACCAGGCAGGTGTCGTCAGTTGCGTGGCGTCGGCGTGCGTCGGCGTGCGTCGGCGTGCGTCGGCGCCACCTTTGCAGCGCTGTGCTTCTTGGTTTCATTGTTGTTGTTGTTGCTGCTGTTGCTGCTGCTGGACATGGTTTTTAAGGCCCTTCCTGCAAAAACCAGGTTCGTGTTTAGTGTTTTACGCAAGCCGGCCGACAGGCAGACCTAGGTGTCGGTAGCGAACGTAGTGAGTATTATAAGGGCTGCCAAGACCAACTGTTTGTGAGCAAAATGAATCGTTTTCAGTCGCAAAAGAAGGCGGCAGTGACTCGCTTTCGTAGCAGGTTGCGATTTCGGGACGTTCGGACTCGATTCCTCCCAGGTGCTGGCTTGAGGGGTTGTTTTTGAAGCGCTTGGGGGGGTGTCTGTGTGTTATAGGTTGCGAGGGGGTGGGGTTGAGGGCTTTGAGACGAGGAGGTTTGAGTGGCGCGTGAGAGTCCCTTCACCGCCGGGGCGGCTTGAATGGGCAGGTGGGTCATGTCTTGAGTGTGGAGGGAAGCCTTTTGCCTGGCAGGTTTGTAGTGTGTTTCTGTGTGGATGGGCTCTGTTGGCGTGTCTTGTGTTGTGGAGGTAAGCGTTCTATGTATTGGGGGGGCCAGTGCTGCGTCTTGTGGATTGGGTGAGGCGTTTGTAAGCAGTTCGTTCCCCCAGACGGGGCGTGGGTGTGGTGTACGTGGGTTTGATGCGAGATGTAGTTTATTGTGTGAGGGTGTGGTGGTTTTTTGGATGTGGTGCAAGCGGGGAATGGATGTGAGAGTTGATTGTGTGAGGTGTTGTTGGGACTTGAAGTGGCAGGTGGCGTGGTGTTGTGTGTGTGGAGGTGAGCTTTCTGTCTCTTAGGGGGGGTCATTTAGGAGGTTGCGACGTGTTGAACAGGTTTCCAGGTTGTGTGGATGTGTTGCCGAATGCGTTGCTGTGAGGTAGCACAGCTTGCACGCGGTCTGCCAATGAGTTCATGCCTGCAGGTGTGTTATGTTGTTCAGGTGGTGAGTTTCATTTTCCATATGTACGACGTGTTGGGGACTTGGTGTAGGTTTACCAGAGGTTGTCCGATGCAATGCGTGGCGTGAACCTTTCTGTGAGTCTGGTTGGAACGGGTTGAGATTTCAGATGATTCCTGGCTGGGTTGGAATGTCTGCATAGAGGTTTCGGATTTAGTTTCCAATGGCGTCCAAGGCACTTTAAAGCACGCAACTGAGGTAGGGTGTCTTCACGCATGCAAGTGTGACGTCATGCTTCGATTACGATTCCACTAAGGCTATTGTAATAGAATTTGCGTGCGCGCATCTCTTCAGCTGAAAACGGTTTGATCAAGTCTGCCATGGCCATTGCAATTCTTCGTGCTTGGATTGATCCTTGGTCAAGCAGTGGCCGCAATGAGCAAGAGAGACCAGAGGGGCTTTGCCATGTTTTCTGAATGATGCTCCTATTTAATCCTATTTATGCGTGTAATATTTCCGTATTTCAGTGTCTTCAGTCAGGACTTGGTGGCCTCCATTTCCACCCTCTTCTGGGGCAAGCCATCAGTTGGCAATAAAGCTCGCAAGCTTGTGCAACTTCGAGCCAGGAACTTAGCAGTTTCCACTCAGAATGCCCTGTGCTCACATGTGCTCGCTACCTCACCAGCGACTGCAGCACTGTTCTTTTCTCACATGGGGAGTTCGCGCTGGTGCTTGCCCCCCGTTTAGTAACCGGCGCCACTTCGGGCAACAAGATCTCTGACAAAAACATCTGGGTCAATGTCAATCTTGCACTTCACATCGAAGTGTGAGCAAACACCACGAGAAGGATCATCAGCCACATTGGCATGACTGGCCACCCTCTCGAACCACGTCACCGCACATACGGTGAGCTCCCACATCAAGATCCCTTCAAAGATAAGGTGGTCGAGTCCTGTGCCAACCGAGCCCGAGACAAGTCTTGCAAGAACCGAGTTGTTGTCAATGAAAATCACCAAGCGGTCGTTGGGTTGGACCGCAAGTGGGTCAAGAAGGCCCGACACCCCCATGAGCACAGCAAGGGCTTCCAATTCAAAGATGAGGTTCTGTTTCTTGTCAGGGTTCAAAAGGTTTACAGTTTCGACATTCACCTTTTCTGAAAAGAATGACAGCACATCCCCATTGCCACCTATGAGGACGCCACCAACACCTCCATCAGAGCTCTCAAAACATGCATCAGTGTACAAATGAAAGATCCTGCACACCGTGGACAAAACGCGGCGAGGCCCACCAGTAATGACACGATCACGGAGGAATTTGAGGCTCTCCGCAAGTTCACTGTCGATGGAAATCTCACCCACCAGGTTCTCCAGCCGTGACAGTTGCTTCATATGTACGCTGGTCAGGCGACCGAAAATCTGTGCTTCCGCAAACACAAGTCGGCCCCTGAGCGTCCGCATCGCGGCAGCTGACATCATGCCTCTGCCCAGCAGTTCATCGATAGTGGCAGTCAGTTCCCTCACACGGCTGGCAACATTGCTGATGGTCACAGCACCCAAGTGCGAATCACCAAGGTCGATCTGTACCCCAAGAATCCTGGAAATGGAGTCGAAGCCACCCTCCTTTTCATCCGAGGTCTGCCAACCAGTGATCAAGAAAAGCAGTTGCTGTGCCAAATCAACGTGTCGAGCCTCATGAACCTCCGCAACCAAAAAGAAATCACCAAAGTAGACTGTCCAATGGGAGGAAGGGAAGCAAGTCCAACAATTTAGCGGGGAGACTTTACTGCCCACACTGGTTCCAGCGCATTTTTTTCTGTTTTCGATCAGCTGATGTCGTTTGAAGAGCAGCATCGGCCTGTGCCAGGGCAGACTGTGGGTTCCACTGTTTCTTGTTGGAATAGATTCTCATTGTGCTTGTTAATTTTGTCCCCTGGCTAGATGCAAGCTTAATGGCCTAATCTTTATTGCTTCAAAATCCAGTGAACAACTGTGACACAAGTGGTAAGGTCATTTTCATGCAGTGCAACGTAATGACAATACTTTATCACAGGTGTTTCAAGACTTAAATGTTAAGTCGTGCTGTTTAGCCAATTGATGTGAATCTCATCTGAATTGCTGATAGTTTTGGCTCAGCACTCGTTTCTTTCGTCCCACCAGCCATCCCCTTTTCACCTCCTTTTGTTCACACGTCAGGTATCATCATGTTTGCACTCCATTTTGTGTTTTCCATGTGCAATTGATCCATGTGACCTCTTTCTTTTTGTTAGCTTGCCTTCGGCATGCTCACTATCCCGCCTGCTCGTGATCTTTCACTCCAAGAGCTTTTGTAGCCTCTCCTTCATTTAGACAGGCAAATCCAGTTGGCATCTGCCCTGGTGGAGCAGCTGCAAGACCTTGAAGATGAGCTTGAGTTGATCGCAGTACCACTTTCGCTCACCTTAGTGACCAGATGCATTCATTGCCTCCAGCGGGCAATCAATGCCCTCAAACTGCACAAACTGCTCATTCTTTATCAGCTCCAGCGTGCCTTGAACCAGAGTTTCAGGCAACATCATCGGGCTCCGCTCATGGATCTAGATCACCGTTAGCAGACCTGGGATGACTTGGCACCATTTCCATTTTTCTTATTTTCACTGGCCTACCCTAGCCGTTGGCAAGCACCAGCGCGAACTCCCCATGTGAGGAAAGAACAGTGCTGCAGTCGCTGAACAGCTGTGACACAAGTGGTAAATATATATATATATATTTAAAATGATATAATGTGTATATATATATAATGTGCATATAGATGTATATAGTGTATTTCACTAAAAATGAATGAAACAAGGATGGTTTTTTAGACCCATTTTTGAGGATTCTGACACACCATCCGCAGACCTCATTTGGGGTACATTCCAGACATCGCAAGTGGGTGATTGTGTTATAGTTATAGTGTTGTAACTCCACTTCTTCATGGAGGATTCCCAGTTGGATGGAGTGTCGCAACAAATTGGGTGGTTTGTGGGGTACCCTCTGGTAAACTAATACATAACTATGGAAAATCACCATTTATAGTGAGTTTTCCCATAAAAAATGGTGCTTTTCCATAGGGTAAAGGTGAGACCCATCATGGCTATGGCTATCCTATTTTGCTATGGGGAGCTAGTTGGAGGAACGAATTGAGTTTAACGACCGAAAATAATTGCAATATATAACTATATAAATCTATAAATCTATATAATTCTATATACCTATGATTAATTTATATATCATTATATATCAACATATCATCATGATGATCGCTATTATCATATATCCATATATATATATATGTATAGAGATATCTAGTGGGATTTCCATGTTTTTTTCCATCCACATCCGGTTCAGTCAAGGCACCTGCGTGGAAGGCGCCAGCGAAGAAGTCTTCTGGGTGGACTGCCGTTCCGCTCAGGTGCGGAACACGCAGATTTCACCAAGAAATGGGTGGTTTTTCCATGGCAAAAAAGCTGGTGAAACCAAGAAACCTATGGTGATATCATGGAAGATATGGAAGTTCATATACTTTTTTGAAAAAATGGCACTTTTAAGCAAGAAAAATATGGTGATGAATGATGAATGATGGTGATGAATGTTGATAGAACCATGAAATCTTGGGATATGATATATGATACCCTCTGGTAATTTAACATAGCTATTGAAAATGACCATTTATAGTTGATTTTCCCATTACAAATGGTGATTTTCCATAGCTATGTTAGTTTACCAGAGGGTATGATATCAGATGATATCACATTGATTTCATGGGTATTCAACCATGGCTGGCGAACTTCCCAACGGGGTTCCAGCATGGGATTCTGAGAGTGGAAATGGAAAAAAATGGAGTTGTTCAAAGCAATGAGATAAATGGATGGTTAAATGAGATAAGATATATATATGTATATGTCATGATATTGCTATATATATATATAGTTATTATCCAGTGATATTATATGGAGGATAAATGGAGAGTTCACCTGGTAAGCCTGGTTGATTCTAGCAGATTCTAGCAGAGAGAAAACCTCCATTGCTACTGAATTCTGAGCAACCAAAATGTGAATATAATCCAGATCACGAGTGGTGAGTGGTTTTTCAGGTTAAAATACCCTTGTTGTTTCGGGTATTTTTTTCCAACAAATCATGGAATTCTGAATGCCTATCCAAGGTTAGCAATGTGGGCCCCCCCAGTTATAAACCCCATTAACTATAGTTAAGTACCATAAACCATAGTTATTGGAGTTATAAACCAACTTAGCCGCAGATGCATGGCTGTGGCCATGCGTCGCGACCCATGAAAAAATTAAGGTCATTTTTCAATGGAACAGACTGATCTTCCGGACCGGTTTCTTGAAGATCTGGTGTCGCAAATGCGTCCGATTAAGAGCCCTTTATATTTCCGGATATATAATGATATATATATATATGTGATATTATTAATATCTCGGATTATATTAATATTAAAATGCCATCTAGGGTCACTGAAATTCGTGTTGATCTTCCACATCACATCCATAATTTCTATCATGTTTTCATATCACTTTTTGACCTTGGAAACAGTGGATTTGTCCTCTTTCAGACGGATTTTTCTCCAGCGGAAGCAGAGGTCTCCTGGACTGTCCCAGAGATGGGCCAAATCATCGATTTGGTGCGCCTCTCTCAGTCCTTGGAGGAATTGGAACAGCGACACTTGGCATTGTCGCCTAAGGCATTTCAGGACCACCGGGGCGGCTGGGTTTTAGGGACAGATGGGGGAGATTTAACTAGGCGAAAAACAGACGTTAGATGTGGAAAAGATGTGGGAAAAGCGGAACATGATCTATAAATGGTGTTTCTTCATGGTTTTCTTCCACATCTATGTTAGTTTACCCTAGGGCCTAGGGTAAACATGGTTTATAGGGCTTTTGAACCGGAGAAATGGGAATATGAATTGATCATTGATTGATGAATGATGGTTGCTTAGTAAGAACCAATATGCCATTGGGAACCAGCCACATATCGAAACCAACGATGAAGATCAACATGGATCAACCAATCAACGACAAAAATCCCAAAGAAATCTGTGGATTTTGGTGAAAGTGACTATTGGAATAGTTAGGCATAGAAGAAATAGTCCCATCATCAGCTTCTTGTCACCATAATAGTCACCATAATCAGCAAAATTTTATTTTCAGAAATCTTGCATGACTATTGGTGACTCTTTTTTTCACATTTGGTAACTATATGACTATATGTAAATACTGGGATTAAAATATGGGACTCACTTACCATCTATCAACTGGTGCAGGATTTCGCAACCATCCACTAAAAAAAACACGGTATCAAGTTTGGATTGGACCAACAAAATGGGGTGGTTTTGACCTCACCAAGACGTGGTTTTGACGAAGAACAAAAGGACGAGCTGCTACCTGAAATGGGGGAGTTTAGCAACATGAAGATTGAATAACAACAGCGAGGCTTAAGCATCCACTAACTTGGTGGTTTGGAACATGAATGGATTATGACTTTCCATTCAGTTGGGAATGGAAAAATCATCCCAACTGACGCGTTTTCACATTTTTCAGAGGGGGTAGGGCTCAACCACCAAATAGAAAAACATGTTGTGTCAATTGGGAAACCCAACGAGTTTGAGCAGGGAAAATATGGGTGAAACAACCCTCGGCCTGTCCCATTGTCTAGTTGGAACCCCATTAGAAACCAACAGGAACATGTAGAAACCAATTAGTATTTCATGGGATGGGAACACGTTTATTTTTTTCCTTTCTTTCTTTTCAATATGATTATTATTACCCTCTGGTAATTTAACATGGCTATTGAAAATTGCCATTTACAGTGAGTTTTCCCATTAAAAATGGTGATTTTCCATAGCTATTTTAGTTTACCAGAGGGTTATTATTATTATTGTTATTATTATGATATATATATATTCATGGCTCATATGATTCATAACCTATGTATTGAGGCTATCTAAGACACCCGATACACATTCATACGTTTCATACTATTATCCTCTTGATATTAGACATCCGTTATGTCCCATTAAGACTATATATAAATATATATATATACAGTTTATATAATAGATACTGATGTTCACATATATATATATATAAATATTAATGAACAAATAATAGAACTATTTACATTGCCATAAGTAAAATAATCCTCCCCTACAACAAACCATCATCCTATTGTCGATTCCATTCCATAGTAGAAATCTCTTGGAAATCCATTAGGTGTCCCATTGTGACATAAAATCGTATCTGATTTTTAGTATGTTTAGTCATATCATGATCCTATCAATTTCATCCTATTGATATTTTTTCTAAATCCACTACAAGTTAAATATCAAACAATAGCCTTTCTAAGTGCGTGCTTCAGACATTTTTTTATTCTTCTCCTGTTTTCAGCTCGTCTTACCCTTCCATTGCAGGGTCCAAGGTCTAGGTCCTAGGTAGTCCTGCATAGCCGGCTTTCATCATCTTCGCGCTCATTGCCAGGGGCCTTCCAGCTTGAGCTGTTTGCTTTCTTTGGATGGCCACCTGTTTTGAAATTGGTCCAGGCTCGACCTTTGCTGTTGCGGCCAGAGCCCCGGGAGACTTCAACCGATCTCATTTCTGAAGCATCTCTGAAGGTGATCCGAAACATCTTGCGCGCAGCTCCGGGGGCTTGTGACTTGAGTAGAGTCCGGGTAGAGCACGCTGTGAATGGCATCGTTCAACCTTTTTTTGAAGACAACATGTAATGTACGTAACAATATACGACTTGTCCATATCATCATATACTCGTCCATATGATTATATACAGTCACTCCGCTTGGAGCAGCCGAGTCTCTGCAACTCAAGGTACGTTATCTCCATTGCTGCCTTCACCGGGTCGCGGACCAAAACACGGTCATTGCCCGAGTGCCACAGGGTCCAGGTTTACCCACAAAGCAGAATGAAGGAGCAGCTAAACACTTTCAAACTTCATATTCAAATTTAGCAACTACTTGAATTGTTTATCAGTTCTTGTGGGCGAAGATGAAACACTATCATGTGCAAACATGGCATCAAGACAAGGGTGATTCAGCACAGTTTTGGTCCATACATGCCTGAAGAGAAAAAAGGTTCAAGTATGTATTTGTTGAACCTCTTTTTTGGGGGGGCGAATCTGCACAAACACCTTGGAGTTGGTGGATGCTTGGTGGCTCAAAATCACAGGTCCACCGTCCCTGTCCATTGTTCAATCTTGTCAATGGAGCAGGCAGCTGAGGAAGTCGTTGAGACGGAGCAGGCAGCTGAGGAAGTCGTTGCGACGGCGGCAGCGGGAGCAAAGGTGGCTGACTTGCTGGCATCCAAAGGAGTCACGATCAGCCCAGCGATCCTCAGCTTGGGTGCGAATGTAGTTCTCCAGCAGTATTCGCTTCTTAGCATTGATGGCTTTCCAGATTTTTCCGAACATCTTTCCATCTTCCCCTTGAGTGCTTGACCATGACCATTTTTTGGGTTTGTTTTGAAGCTCCTGACTTCGCATCCCAGGTCTTTGCAGGCCGCCCCATGGTTCTTCAAATCGCGCTACGAGACATCGAAAGATTTTACATGAGCCTGGGCAGGCTTCAGCACAATGCGCTCCTCTTTTTGTCTTACCGGAGTGCGAACGACAGATGATGTCGGCCGCTTGTGTGGCAGCTGCTTGTTCTTCACTTGGTTGTTCTTTCTCCCCCAAGGAATAAATTTTGTGCCAAGCAAAGGGAAGAGATCCACAAAAATTGGCACCAGGAAAATCCAAACATGCTTGATGTGCTGGGATTGTGAGCGTGTTTGCAGCCAGGTTTCCCCTGCATGCCGCAGGACTTGCAGAGGAAGGCGGAGGATCTTCTTACGCAGTTGCCATCTCGCGCCGCAATTCCGCAGATTTGGACTTCAGTGGCTTGGTTGGATCGTTTCAAAGCGCTTGTCTCAAAAAGGGCCTAGTCTAAATTTACATTTTTTGTGGCATTGATGAGTTGCCCAATGTCCAGGTGCTGTGCTGTGTGAAGGAGCTCCTCGAGCAATTTGTGCCGGAGCTTGAGCCCGAGGGCAAAAGAGTTACCACTTGCTCATGCATCCTTTCATACTTCATTCCATCGCCAATGGTTGCCAGCTGCGTTTCTACGAGCCTCGCTTTCTCTTTGTAACAACTTGTTTTTCCCTGCCTGAGTATGTGCGGGGAAGTGGTTGTAGCCAGTATGTTTTTTTTTCCTTTGCTTTGGCTCCATTCATTGAGGACGATCCTGCTTGGCGCGGATGGCCCTTCCCCATCAACGCCCAGGGCGAAGGCCAGGACATTGGGCAATATTGCCAGGACGCCTCGAAGTCCACCAATCGATTCCTGACTGCCGCGAACTTGCGACCGGTGGGCCCACGGCAGTTGCCACAATCAATGCAGCTTTCAGCCCAGCGCTCTTTGGAAGAGAGGAGACTGTAGACTCTGGTGTGTTTGGGCGTAGGGCACTCATTTGACAATGTTTAAAAAGTGTTGTTTGTTGAAAAGGTTTCTGAAAAAATCTTGCATCCCTGCAGGAACAAGTCGCTGCTGTCTCAGTACTTCTTTTCAGAGCGCTTCACAGATGAGTATTTGGACTTGGTGCACAGGTGCGGTGTGAAGTTGGCATGCCAGTTTCCTTTGACCTTGATCCTTGGATTAGATGGCAAAGCCAGGTGGGCCCTTGAAGGCATCAGTTTGACCTTTCCAGTGACACAAACCCTGACAAAGGACATGGAAGGGTCGAAGTACACAGCCAAGGGTGTTTTTTCCCATGTTCCAGCAGTGAGGGTGGCTAGATCTTATTAGGGTTGTCTTCTCCTTCCTTTTTCCTTCTTCCTTCCGCCGTCTTCAAGCTCCAGCTCAGCGTGGACAGGACCCGAACCCTAGGAAACTACGCGTTGGTCCAAGTCTTTTGCGGAGCCCCAGGTCTGTGTATGTGCACGCGGAAGGAAAGAACATGCTAAGATGTCCACTGCTACAGATTAAATGCCAGAAAGATTGCCGATCCGATGTCATGCGCAATGCCAGATAGAATACCAGATGGAATGGCACAATGCACGCCAGATAGACTGTCAGAAAAACACGTGAGATAGAATACCCTGAAGCTTCTTGTCAAAATTATTTGCCAAATAAGATTCCATGAGTAGATAGGAACGGTTGCACATGGGATGTTACAGCTTATGCCAGAACCCATGTCAGATAGAATGCCAGATAGGGTATGAGAATATATATAGGGTATGAGAATATATGAGAATATAAACAAAATAAAATGTCAGAAAATATGTCATAATAGAGCACCCTGAAGAGTGTCAGATAGTAAATGTCAGTCGGAACTGTTGTCAGGGTGGGGATCATGCAAAGTAAAGCAGTTTGACCTTCAGAGTCCGAGCTTGCCTGTCGTGCCGCTGAGGCAGACTCGAGATATTATTTGTGGCTCCCTTGGTGAATGAGACCCCGCCATTTTGGCGAAGCCTTTGGTGCAATTCCGACGGATTCTTCTACTCCATTTCCTTGAAGGAGACCAGCGTGGCACATCGTGCATTCACAAGACCTGACTACATACATGTTGCGCGTGTCCTGTCTGGAAAGGTTTTGGCCGCCCGAGAGGACCTGTTGACTTTTATCGCTGAACTTACACCTGAGAATGAGGCCAAGTTTCTTCATTTCAGCACGGCTGCATTGGAAAAGAAGATTGGGATTCTTATCAAG